CTTCTTAGATCTATTCAATTTAATATTCAAATATTTTACAACTATTCAATTTGAGTCAAAACAAAAATAATTTTATGAAAATTATGAAATGTAGAAAAATATATGGAAATATAGTCCATGTAGAAAAATATATATGACAGATCCTCTGCTACAGCAAAATACTAATGTTCGACTCTGTGAAAAAATATATCAAGGACAGAGCCCTAAAGTTATTCACAAAAGTTGATACGTTGCCCAACCCCGAATATTGTTGAAGTATTCACCGCAACCACTTCATGGAATCAACAAGTTTCTGGAACTCACACTTAGGCACTCTTTTTGTTGTGGGAAAGCACTTGAGTGTTACACTTGAGTATAACTTGGACGACGACTTATTATATCATATATACATATAGACATGTTCTTTAGGTGATACTTTACAGAACTTACATTATATTTTTTTTATGGTAGACTAATAACATATATATTTCATATCTGATAAGTGTTATGAGCGGTTTATAATATTTAGTGTTATATCATGGATGAGAATTCAAGATTTTGGTAGTCATGTTTACTTATTCCATAGTATTATTGTTAAAAGTTTAAGCGTGAAATCGCCCAACAGCCGGTACTGCGGCCAGAAGAGTCCTTTTGTACCAGTTTCACTTTTAATTACACAAAGTCCCTTAAAGTTTTGTGAAAAATGTCTAGAACTAAATCTAGAGAAAAGTTCTTAATCTGTTGTGATGACAGAAGTTCCATATAAAACAAGTTTCTTCTAAGCGTTATTAAAGCAGGGCATTCACAAAGAATATATTATACATAGTAGTTTCTTTATCTTCGAGGCATAATCTGCATGCCGAATTAGCAGACAGTTGTAGTTTATGAAGGTGATATTTTAGTCCATAATGACCTGTAAAGAAACCTGTTAGCAGCCTTTAATTACATTTTGAGAATTTAAAGATATCTTTGTAAGAATACGGTGATATCAGTGCTTTGCTTTGTCTAAGTCCTGGGATGCTTTCCCAGTACTCCAGCCGCATGTTAATTTCCCCGTTTATCCGCTTTGTACTGGCCCAGTTTATCCCACAAAGGTCCTGTAAAAGCTATTTTTAATGCAGTTTTGGCTAGCTCATCGGTTTGTTCATTTCTCAAACCTCTCCTGTGATCCAGAACCCAGTAAAGGCTAACCTTATTCCGAGGTGCAAGTACCTGTAAAAGCTCATAACACACAAGAACCGGGTTTGACTTGAAAGTCCAAGAGGACAGAGCTTTGGGAGCAGCCTGGCTGTCGGAGTAGATAGCAGTTCTCTAGGCAAATGGTTTTTTGTTGATATTTAATCTTACGCATATGTTAATTGCGTGGATTTCAGCTTAAAAGACGCTCGACAATGTGCCCATTGCCTCCAAGATTCTGGTGTTAAGTCCATATACACCAACACCAGTGCCTTCATCTATTTTTGATTCGTCTGTGTACCAAACCAAACTTTTTGGGTCATCCTGTGGCCGCCGTTTTCCCACGTTGAAAGAAGGTGAACCTCAGATTTCAAAACGATGGAGTTTTGTTACATAATCTACACCGCACTGAGGAATTTTATGAGCTCCAAATGCTTTTAATCAGCACAAACCATATTCATGTGGAGTTTTAATCGAAGTGCACTAAGCGCAATTGTAGATTGAATATGAATGTGCAGAGGTGTCAATCCAAGTATAGCCACAAGTGCTACAGTTGGGCTAGTCCTCATGGCACCAGTCATTAAGAGACAAGCGAGTCTCTAACATTTCGTGCAAACAGTAATAGATCCAGCCTGTGTGACCTTTTGCCACCAGACCAAGCAACCATATGTCATAATAGAACAGGGTATATCCAAAATATCATCTTCGAGTTAAGGCCCCAAGTTTTACCTATACAAGACCGCGTTGTCCATAAGGTCTGTAGTGCTTTGTTATATGCCTTATTTAAGTGTGTATTCCAAATGAGTTTTCTATCGAAATCGACTCCTAGATACTTTGCTTAACTAGAAATAGGAATATTAGTGTTTCCCAAACATACAGGACCTATATCTAATTTACGTGTAAAAGGAACAACAACAGTTTTCTCCGGATTTATGAGAAATTATCACCTTTGCATCACGCTAATATGCGTTGAAGGTGCCCTACCAAAAACTCAGATAGCCCACTATCATGCTTTCCAGACACTATTATAACTAGATCATCTGCATAACCGATGGCGTCACAACCAATATTCTAGATTAAAAGTTCGTCGACAACCATCGACCAGAGCAAAGAACAGAACACACCACCTTGTGGACAGCTTTTTGCGGCCTCAACAGCTACAGATATCTTGCCTAAGGTTGATGAGATTTTTCTGTCTGGAAGCATCTCCTCAATCCAGGAAATAATATCAGAATCAACATTACTGTTAGATAAAGCCTTCGTAAGCGAGCCATAACTCGTATTATCGAAAGTTCCTTCTATATTCAGAAATGCACAAAAGAAAAGATTTCTTTATTTTTGTGGGCCTTTTCAATTTTGCAGGTCAGATTAGATTTCTCTTTAGAGTGAGCAATTTGAGTTCTATGTAGGGGTTAACTTTTATACAATTCTGTACGAATATAGATATCTATGAGTCTTTCCATGGTTTTCAGGAGGATGGTTTACACTTGGTCTATTACCATTTTTTGGTATAAATACCACGTTCTTTTTTGCAAGATTTAGGTATGTATTTTAAACATAGGCTTGCCCTAAAAAGTACCTTTATTGGAGTTATAAGAACGTCTATACCGTTCTGAATAAGTGCTGGGAATATACCACCATTTTCTGGGGACTTGAAGGGACTGAAGGAATTTATTGCCCATCTTACTTTATCAGTATCGAATATAATACCAGATAAGAACTTTAATCGACTGTCTGATTGTTCATATCTTAACGTGCGCCTATCCGTGGATGAATCACATAAGATCGAATCAGGAAAGTTCTGTGATGAGACCATCACTCTTTTTCAAGAGACCAATGGCATTTGAAAGAGACTTTCTCATCACCTTATGAGGGCGGACTATTTGCGGAGTGTTTTCGACACTGTCACAGAAAGTTTTCCATGACTTCTGGTTATGTAAGCTGATCTCATTCATGCTGACATTGACGGTGGTAGCCCCTAACTATTCAGAACAGAGACTAACACCATCAGTGTCAACAGAGGCAGCATCAGACACAATTTAATTTCTTTGCTGCTAGCATCAGTGTACTGTGGAAAAACAACATTTTCCAAAGCGTGTATATTTTCGCAGATGTGCCCAACAGCACCATCTGTATTAGGTAGTTTGTCCTGTGACACAACAATCGACTGGACGATGTTAACTAGCTGCCCGACAGCAGTAGTATTTGATGCGATGGGGGTAGCATCATTCCCTTTAATTATTTTATTTTTGCAATCCATACAGAATAGCTCCAGACCCAGTATTTAATTTACAGATTTTTTCTGACAAGCTTAGTCACTTATTTGCTTTTTATCCATCTTATTAACTCTACCGGACGAATCAGAACATTCACGTTCATCCGTCTCCTTCTTTATGTGCTTTTGTGTTTTGCATTAATCCCAAATAGTTTTTCAGTTGATCAAATAAATTTTTTGATTTTTCATTGGCTTTGAACAATTATCGAAATCAATGAAATAAAATCACTTTATGTATATATATATATGCATTATAGATGTTATATATTCTATATAAGCCTTTGTTATTAAAATTTTCAATTTTATGAAACCACAGGTACGCCAACAGCATTGGACGTGATTTCAGGAAGTCTCACTCAACCCTGAATTTCAAAATAGTTACTAATCCATAATCTTATGATATATGATATGAATATATGATATATGCCAATTATTTTATAATATCGTAGACGTTTTAGTATTTTGTTTTAAAGTTCATCAGATAACTCAACATATAAATATCTTAATCTTTTGGTAACGGGTACCAACAGCTTTTCTTTACTTAACGATGAAAGACTATATTGCAAGGTTGAACATTATGTATGATGACTTTCAATCACTTCTGGAATTCAGAATGAAAACGTGCATTGCACTTCATAATCTTCCTGTAATATCTTCCATTATCTTCCAATACCTTTTTTTTGAATCTTAATCTTCTCTCAACCAAAATTCCATTCCGATTTGATTTGAAAGGTTTGCCTTCACTTAGAGTGTAAAAGTAATCTTATGAAATGTGTGACCACTTTATCAAAAATTGTCCAATTAGTATTATCCCTAATACTACTGTGCAAGGTAAACTCTTTTAGCAAATGCACTCAAAATCATAAAATGGAAATTCTTCGAAAATCGTCGAGAGCAAGTAAAAGCCCTTATTTTTTACCATTTCTATTCATCATCAGTCATAATAAACTTAATCATTAAACTAAATAATGTGACAATATTATTGAGATACTGTCACAATAAATACTCTATAGTGCTATTGCTAGTCTTTTCACTGAAATAGTAGAGCGTTTAATTAATGGCTCTATGAATAGATCCAGCAATATTAGTGGAAATCTTCTCTCAAGGCATGAAAAACTTTACAGAGGGCATTTTCCTTAAAGTAGTTTGATGAAAGGTTCAAACACTTCTTAGAAAGCATTTTCAAATTCCATACATCCAAAAATTTCCAATATTACAGCGGCAATATAATAAACCTAAACATGTAAACAAATCAGAACTGAGTTCTTCAACTATTTTGCTTTTTTACTTTTGTAAAGAGAAAAATCTAAGGACAGTGTACTCCGTTTTTAAATTGTGGATTTTCACTTATACAATCTATTTAAACATTTACTTAGTGTTTCATATGTCGAGTATGCTGTCAACCAAAATTTCAAAACACCCCTCTGAGATAGTGTCACTCGGTGCATCTACAGAGGTGCTTTTCACTATTATTTACTCCTATCTAAGTAAAAAATAATTTTAATTTATATTTAAAGGAGTTTAATTTATTTATTAGTTAATTTTTAAGGCTTTGAATGTGATTATTGAAGTTCGCGTACAGCCTTCAAAAATTTCATTTCATTTCACAAAAATTAAGATCCAAACTTATGAATTATCAAGACAGTGGTTGGACTATTAAAAGATTTGCAAAAAAATATTGCAACATTTATTTAAAATAATTATTTAGGTTAGTTTTAAAGTTAATATAAATTAAAATTAGTTAAATGGAACCACTTTGACTTTTGACTTCAAAAGACTGCGCCGAAAGGCACACCATTATTTGAACCAAATACAGAAGTGCGTGAGAAGCCCGGTCCCGATTCAGAACGCTAGAAAAAATGTATAGAAAAAGTTATTTTAGAACTACATAGGTTATTTTTTTTTTCTTACGTAATGTACACTCTGTTGTGATGAAGAAAATCCTCCTTCATTGGGTGAAAATCCCCCAAAATTGGACTAAAAATATAATAAAATTTAAAAGTAAAATAAATGTTATAATCAATAAATAAAAGAAAATAAAAATTAAGTTAATAATTAAATAAATTAGAGTTTTCCTAGGTATTTTTAACGCAATAAAAATGTAAATATTTTATTAAAAACGTACGATAATTATAATCTTAATCAATTCAAAAATACATCTAGCGGTCTCCATTCATTGATATCTATTGATTTCATATTTGATATACTACTTTCTAAATAAATGAGGCTATCGAAATTAATTTCCTAACAAATATTTGGTAAACTCAAGTAGATAAATGAATAAAGCTACTCAGGTAGATGTTTGGATGGCATTATTTGACTTCAATATCTGAATGAGAATTATCAAATCTCAAACGTTTTTAGGCAAACGTTTGGCCTCATTTAAAGAAAATATGTTCGAAAAAAACTTCCTAATTTTGGAGACTGCTAGAAAATGATCCAGTTTGTCATAACAGATCAAAAAGATACAAGGTGTAAGGTGTTCAAACAGAAAAAATTACGGCAAAGTTCTAAACAGATAAGTTAATAGCAATAGCAGCACGTATTATGTTACAAGAAGACACAGCTCACTTTATGTAAGTCATCATAATACTGCAAATTTTGAGACACGTGACTACTCCAACCAATTTTAAATTGGGAAACATTTTATAAAACAATCAATTTCCTTAATACCAATATCTGTATTATCTGACAAACACTCGAGAAAATGAAAAACTAAAATAGAACAGAGCCTTCTGCAGAGTACTAGACTGTAACATATTAGATGAATGATACTTTACTTTTCTACCGTTGAGCCATAGCTATTAGAGTAGCCATTGAAAGGAACACCACCCCTGGTGTGACATGCTTATCCTTAAGAAGAGAAAGTGTGCCTTCATTATGGCAACTATAATGCATAGCGTGAGACAAGCAAAACCACGTAGTTGCTCTAGTCTTTTCTGATTGTGAGCAGACTATGCCATACATGAGGCTTAATGTGAAACGAAGAACTGAGACTAAAGAAATGTGCTCATTTATTTGAAATATTGTTATGTGCAGATATGAGCTGTTAGTATAAATTTCAAGGCTCACGTTTGGGATTGCAGTCCCTCTACCCCAGTATTCCCGTGTGTGGCTGTGAGTACAAAAGTAACGACAAACATGGAAAGGAAAACCGCTCGTGATAATTCAGAAACTTTATGGAGTTTTACTGCATTAGTTTGAGTTTTTAAGAGTCTATAAAAAAAATGGAAAAGGCTTTCTTACCGAAGGAAAATCTGGAACTGGATTACTGAAACCACCGAAGTTAGAGCTTTGATAAGGTGGCAAAGGCGGTTGTGCATAGCTATTAAGAGGACCCTGAAAAAAAAAAATAAATTAATTGCAAAATATTTTGTTTCTTTTGTAGATCTTGTAAAACTGTGATTAACATTTTTATTAGACATTTTTCTGGTATTCGTTAAGTAATTGACACTGCTTCTGATCAACTTTCATCCATTTTATGTCATATCCATTATATATGATATCATTATTACAATCATTTTCTTCTTATTTGACACTACAGTCCAGAGTGAATCTTGATCTCCCTCACTATTATTACAATCATCATTGTCATAACTGCATATTTTCAAATAAGCCACATATTTACAAGTGTTATCACCTGTTATGATATATTGCAGTTGTTTGGTAGACATCCATATATGAAATATTTGCACATATATAGTATATTTTATAGTTTCATTATTAATTTTACTCATTCATAAATGTCGCAATTCTTGCTCTTTACAGACAAATATTCTCATATTTAGCTTACGGTATGCTTACCATAGTATAATCGCTGTGATAAGTCGGACTTGGGAAATTGTTGCTTCTAGGAAATTGTGAAGATTGTAATGCCATAGCCCTATTTCGCGCATTCTAAAACAAAAAATGTTATCTACAGTAACTTCACATATTGATTGATGTGAGTATTAACAATAGACTTACTTCTGTGAAGGCACGATGAGCATCAAATGCACTTCTAAACCGTTCCTAGATAAGAAATAAAAATAAAAAATAATAAATTGAAAACAATACCTCATGAGATAGAAGAACTTTATTGGTATTAAATATACATAATTAAAAATAATTGTGCAGTTTCCGTTTTAAATAAATTTTATATTAATCAAGGTTTAATCAAAAGACCACTTGTTAATATAAACAACGACACTTGCACACCATTGCGAAGTTTTTAGGAGACGATATAGCCATTGTTGCCGATATAGCTGCTTATGTTGTCCTTATTTCAGAATTTGATCTTTCAGATGAAATTACGTACACCCGATAATTCTACTTTTGGATATTACAGTAACATCGTCTGTAGTTTCGGACAGAAGCATAGAAAAATATTGTTAAGTTCTTATTTTTTTTTACATGGCTTAAAAATCGAACTTTAAAGCATCAATGATTATGGCATTGTATGGCTTTCCGTTACTATTCAGTGGACACACGAGTAGCAGGTTTGCCGAAACAGTCAAGATCTGTCATTGTTTTTTTGTTGAATTTAGGCCATATAGTACTTGTGACCTGTTTATGCCTACTCTGATCATTTTATCAGTAACTAGAAAGGCGTAACAGTGAGGCAGAATATTTTATTACAATTCTTGATTAAATCGCTCTGAATTAAATTACCTTCGTTTCTCTCTAACTGTTTATAATGATAACGATATTCGAAGTTTCAACTCTTCTAACTTTAATTAGCCTGACTGCATTTCAACAAAAATTCAGCAGGGGAACGATCATACCTCTATCTGTTTCTAATATTAATATAGATATAATACTAGTGTTATCTGACATAAATTTCGACTCATAGCTGTCTTTGAGTGGGTAAAGGTAAAGAATTGTTGCTAAAAAATTAGGGGTTGATGTGATGTACTCTGTAGCTGATCCCAAATCAACTTAGACCGAAAAGTACCCTTATTTTTAATTTCATCCAAAATTGTACTGTGTTTAGAGTTAGTTGATTTCAATATCTCACACAATATCTCACAGTAGTTTAGGTGGCGCAGTCCTGAAAAAATTCACATAACAGTATGAGATGAAATATCTCTTACTAAATGAGATAAGTAGGAGATATTTAGGCTTTTCGGAATGGAGTAACTGTAGCTTCTGGTATATCCAGTCTCTGTACTTTTCCAACACGAGACTATATGAACTCATATTACAACTTCAAATTATAAATTTATCTACTTTTGATATGTCTATACTCCAGCTGAACCTTTCTCAAAGAGCTTCAGGCAACACTAAAAAGTGTAGTTAATAAGGATAAAATATTTCTTGAAATAGAAAATCAGTATACACGAGTCTTCTGGTAGTTGCTCTAAACAGATTATTTTTTGATAACCAACTGATTAGCAATTGGTTTAATGGTTTTAAGGTTTCTCATATTCTTGTTTATGATAGCCATAGAGTCGCCGCTTCATTAGGGTCACACGATTCCCGGCAAAATAAATTCTTTCTGAAACACTCAGAAGCAATTACATGTTTTTATTATTACTCGTATATTAAGATTTAATAGCATACAGTCATTAAGGATCAAATTTTAAAGTAATTTTAATATATTGTAATAGAGATAAATAAATTGCCTCTAATTTACGTTAAAGATACAACGCATTTTATAACCTTTTTTTTATTAATTTTCGACCTAGAGTTTTAATAAATGAATCAAGTTTCTTATCGGTTAAAATATCCTCTTGTAAAAATTATATGATATAATATATTATATATATATATATATATATATATATAACTATTTATAAAAATACATTTGTAGAGAGCGTAAAATGAAGCTTACCTCTGATTCACCACGATACTGGTCATCACGATTATTATATGAACCTTCGTTATTAAATGAACCTCTCGGATAGCCATAGTTCTAAAAATAATTATTTATTTATTTTACTTTTAATAATACGAGTAAGAAACTAAACTGCAAAGTAACTTAATAAAGCCTACTACTATATATACCTGTGGATAATTCAGTGAACCAGAGTTTTGTTGAGAGAAGTCGTTATTTGAGTTTTTTGTTTGTACGGATGTCATCGAGTTCTGTCAATACGTAATAAATGTTACTATTATTATTATTTCTAAAGTCTTAAAAAATAGATTTTTACTTCATTAAACACTTCACGGTTAGAGGAAAATTGATCTGGTCTTTTTTTACTGGGTCTATTTTCTTTTAATAATATTGGTTCTTCAGTTTCAGCTTCAATCTGAAATGATGATATATTTATATACATTAAGAATGGTAATACTATTTAGTCGACTTAAACATACTGGTACGAACTCATCGTCATGATTCGTGCTCGAAGTACTATTCGATTGCTGTGCCCCTAGAACCTGTAAGAAAAAAGTATCACACATTTAAATACATAAGAACGTATACATATAAAATCTATTATGAAAACATTAAGATAAAGAAATGTTTAAAGATACTTTCATTCCGTTTGCAAAAACAGTTGCATTAGCAATTAGTTTACTTTTTGTTTATGTACTATTTATGAAAGGAAATTTTTGAGTTATATTTTGATATTTACTATGTGAGGTTTATTTTCGAAAGCCGCTTTACATATGACCTAGAAGATCCACTAAACTTATTCTATTAATTTGTCAAATTTAAGTTATTAGCTTTGTTATACTCGTACGTGGTTAAATTTCTGCTAAGTTAAGGTATAGATATCTATCAACACATGAACGATGAAGACGAGGAAAAATGAAACTAATTGTGGTCGTTAATAGAATAGGAGCTATTATAGAGGCTATTGAAGAAATCGAAATATCATATCTGAATAGATTTTTATAAATGTTTTGGTTATACTATATAAGGGTAACTGCAAAAGAGTGAATAATTGCTTACTTGCGTTGCTGACAGTGCAGAGTATTAATGACAGTTCGTCGTCTCAATAAAATTTTTCTAAAAAATCAAGAACAAAAAAAAAACATATCGGATTCAGTAAACTGTGAAAGATTTTCTATTTCTCATACTCAAAGAGATACTCAAACAACAAAGTTTCTCAAAAATAGATGGGACAAAGGCGGAATTAAAAAGCGAGTAAAAGCCCATATCTAAAACGACGTTCGGACTGTGTTTCTCAAAGAAGAAACTATGATGACTTGAGTGCTAATGTAGAATACTTTGAAGAAGATAGTATAAACATTGTATATTAAAAAATTACTTTTTTGATTGGTGGCATTATAGTCTATGGATTTTAATTATTATTTAAATAGTTTTTTGGACGTTCGACTTAATGTCTTAATTAAGTAATTTCTAAATTTAATTTAATTAATTGCTTTTTTATTTTTGTTCAATATTTCGACTACCGTTGATATTCATGATTAAGAAACTACTTGCTAATATTAGGTAAGAAATTACTTAGTATAATCATAAAAATCACTACCATGTGATCGTTTGTATTAGTTATTGCTTTTTTTTTCTTTTTTATGTATGATTTAGTTGATATCTGAACTTAATCAACATCTCTCCTTACTTATTGATGTGTTGATTTTATAGAGCATTTGAAGTATAAAAATAATATGTTGGAGTAAGAAAAAACAATGTCAGCACATAAATCTAACACAAAGACGAAATTCAGATAGAAGATATACGATAACGGTCAACGGTACTGATCACGTATATATTCCTTACTTAGATTAGGTGAATAGCACACCGACAGATAAGATTTAACACTTGAGAGAAAATATCAAGAGAAGCTCATTAATATTAATTGACAAAATATATCGATAATAAAAAAAAATTAAATAAGGACACATACACGTCAGGTCTTACCTGATCATAAATTTGCTGGTACTCAGTAGGTGCCTTTGCCTCTGTTGATTCAGAGTCCGATCGCTTCCTTACTATTACAGCTGCTACTATCTATTTTTAGATTTTAGATAATTTTGAAAATTAGTTGAAATATATAAATCCATTTTTAATATATATAAAAAGTTCATATTTGACAAATCTGGTTAATAAATTTCAATTTAACAATTCCTAGCGATAATAAATAAACAAAATGTATATTTATTTAATACAAAAACTTTGTTATAATGGCAATATTCATATATACAGGGTTAACCAAATCTTTTTTGTGTGAAATTATTTTTTATTGATTCAAATTACAAAAATTTGTGGAAATAAACAAAATTTCAGAGTCCGTACACTCTAAATCGATGTGCTGACCTTTTGCCCTGACTATGCCCTTCAAATGGTTAAAAATTAGCCGCTTGCTTTACGAATGTGATCTTCCGGTATTTTGGCCCATTCTTAAACAAAGGCTTTCTTTAGTGCATCCATACTGGCATATATCTTAGTCCTCACCTTACTCTCCAAAATGGCTCAGATGGAATAGTCCATCGGATTTGCATCTGGCAAATGCGAAAGCATCTGACTGATTTTTTAACCAGTCTTTGTTTACATGAACTTTAAGAGACAGTATCCAGTTGGTATCTTGTTGGAACATCCATGATCTACGACCGAAATGTTTGCATGCCCATGGCTCTAAAGTAACTTCCAAAACATTTTCCCGATAATAAAACCTATCGGCGGTCACAGCTGCCCATACCATTATTTGAGATGGAAAGTTGCTTCATGTGGCCATTCGGCAGTGCGTTCATGTTTCAAATTTTCGACAGTGCGTTCAGTTACGAAAGCACGATCAATTTGTGGTTTATGAACAACTCAATGAGGACATTTTTCTCATCAGAGAAAATGGTTGGAAATTCGCCATGTTCGTGCAATCAACTCCTTTGCTTTTTCGAATCTAAATTTTTGTTGCTTTGGTGTAAGATTCTGTGCTTTTCGAAACTTGTAAGGCTTTACCTTGAACTCATATTGGAATAAGCGTCGGATGCTTCGCTGGAATATTTGTAGTTTTTTGGCCATTTAACTACCACTACCACGTGGGTTTCGTTTAAATGGAATCTTCACTTTTCAAGCCATTTGAGGTGATGTTGCTGTTTTTTTCATCCACCACCATAGCCTTTAGCGATCCTACCTAAACTATTATAACGATTTATGGTACGATATACAAACATTTTATTCACTTTGAGGTGTTTGAACTCAGAAACAATAGCCGGTTGCGATTTTCCAGCCAAATTTAATAGAATAACGATATTACATTTGAATTCCATTTCGAATAACTTTTATTCTTTAAAACTTAAACGATTATGCTTGTGGTAGCTTGTTATACAATATAAACAGCTATCATTCGAATGAATTCTACGAAGTTGACAATATCAGTTTGATAGATATACCTGTGTGTAGTTAGTAATATTTCAATCGTCTAACCCTGTATATTACTAACATACCAAAAGTGATGACAGAAAATCAAAAGTAAAGACACAAAGTCAATAAAAATTATTACACCTTAATTTTATCTATTTATAGCATTTCTAGTACAGAGAAAGTTATCGAAGTAATAAAGTAAAGATAGTCATAAATTACATAAATGCGGCTTTTTTTCTAAAGGTACATCTCACCTTTATTATTGAGAAAAAATGAATTTTATTTGTACGCTCCCAACTTTTTTATATCAGCATTTCTAACTGATCTATCCTAAATATGTACAATTAAAACTAATATGTCAAGCAAGGAATTCCTTACTGTTAATTACAATAATCTATAATTATGTCAATACTTTTTAAGAATCAGCAAGTGGTATAAAGTTTTAACTGTTTGAAAAGCTATATTACAGAGTTTGGTACATTGAACTTTTCTAACTTCTTTTCTAACTTGTTTTTGACAGAGTGCATTTAACTTCCTGTATATTTGCAAATAATGAAAGCCAAGCCCTTCCTTTATACCATTAGACTTATTACTTGGACCAAAAAGTCTTTTCTTAAAGGTCAAGCACTTTGTGAGGAAACATTATTTATACAATATGAATGCCAACTAAGAGAGTGTTTTTCTTGAAATTTCAATTAAATTTTGAATAAATTTTATCTTTTATTTAAACCGGAAGGTATGTCCAATATTTAAATTAATTACTTTCTAATATATACAGTTTATATTATACATATTTATAAATAAGTGAAGTTCAGTATTCACTTATTTTTCTTTTCTTTTGCAACTTAATGATAAAGTACTATATATGACTATGATAAAAAACTTCTGGATGTAATGTAATCTTAGTATTGTAAGATATAGTATATTTATTTTGTAGAATTGAACTGAAATGGTCATTTTAAGGTAATAAATAATATATAAATAAATAATATATATGGTATATAACGCACAGAGGTATTATAAAGCATTGCTTTATCGTTCATCGAATTTGACTGTTTCGAATTTAATACATTTTCTTCATAATATGAACATATCACTCATAAGATTCTCTATCATTGGAACTCTTCTCATAATAATTTTAACAAAATATTTTAGTCACATTTCAATAATTTGGGCATGGCATATGCACTAAACAAGTGCAAAAAGTGAACTTCACTACTCTTTCTACCTCGAAGATTTGTCTATTTCATTGGATTTGTCTACCCAAAGATATAATTTTGAAGATACTATGTAAACGAAAAGTTTTAATATGAATAAATATTAAAAATTATATCTTTAGAATCTTTTTTTTGTTTTTCTTAATTAACTACATGGAGAAGTACACGGATAGTTCGTAATGCAACGTTTGATTCGAGTACATCGAAAGATGCAACCAACTATTCGGACGGGTTTTAAGCAAGTTTTACACGTTTCAATTAAATTATTAAGAAAATTTTTACATTTGCTTGACTTTGAGATTATTTTTATAATATTTTTTATTACTCACGACACTTACATTGCTGCAAAATATTAAACTGCAACTAACAATTAAATATTTGAATAGAAACATTTTTTGCTCGCCTTGTTAGCAACTTTTTTCTTACACACAATCCGCGCTTATATTTTGTTTTTACCCGGCGATGCTTAATTAACAACTAAAGCTGCTTAGAAAGTATATTTCCAATATATTTAGTAAATTCAATGAAATTAGCAGTCACTGAATCGAAATCATCTCGGACTTAGTATTTACGCATTTGCAACCCAAGCACTTGCACGCTCGTTTAGAGATAACAAAAATCTAAATAAAGATTTTGAGATTACTCATTATTTTTAACAATATCCAATCAATAACATAAGAGTGATGAAAAGTGAAAAACCCAAAGTCGTGCAATACTAGCATTCCAAAAATCCAGAAAACATATTTATGAATTCAAGATAATATTTGAACTTTGTGACTGACAAATTGTACTATGAATAAGCCAAGCTTAATATGCAGAAATACATACAGCAAATTTATAAAAGTGGCTTTAAAAGTCGTGAATTAAGAAAAATTATTTATTTAATACAGTTTCTTTTAATATACTTTAATATATAATTTATAACCTTTATCATTTGTTTTGGTGTTTTCTTAACTCCATCGGTGTTGAACATCTGTGGTTTATTTGCGAGAAACTCCGTCGAGTGATGTTTAGGGAATCTTCAGTCGGCCAATTTTTTACTATTATGACAGGTTTGCAGAGATCGAAGCATATGGCAGCCACATCGTGCAATTCTGATCTACAGGTGGACTTCTTTCAAATTGTTTTGATTCGTAACAAACGTGTGTAGCATAGTATTATCACGACTGAACACAGCTCATTTTCTGTTGGCCAATTTCGGTCACCTTTCCTCGACAGCTCCGTTCAAGCGGTCAAGTTATGAGTAGCAGAGAACCGAGTTAAACGTTCCGCTCAGCTGTAACAGTTCGTGAAACACAATGCTTGAAATCGTTTATAGCTGGAATATTATGTTATTATCGTATCTTACAAATTTTTTATCGCTCGTATTCGTAACGTATCAGTAGTGTTTCAATAATGTTATACCCAAATATCGCGTATATTCGCGCAGTCTGCTCTTTTTAAATCATACCAAACTATCATGTGGTTGGTATGTAGTGACCCCGCTATCTTCTGACAGCTCCACCAGTTGTATATTTTATCACATATTTATTTAATACTATAATAATTTTAGATTTTGTTTAAAAATATAATCATATAATGACCACAATTTGAAGGGGTTTTTCTTACTCTGAAAAGTTGAGAATACCAAAATAAAGTACCAGTTAAGCGATTAAATTCACATTTGGCAATTATATCGAAAAGTGCGCAACGTGAAAAAATGAAAACATTTTAAAATAAATGTATTATGTCCTAAAAACAAAACCTTTTATGTATTATTATTTCGTAGACAGAATTATGAATTATTCGTATTAATAGAATAAAGTTTATCGCTCATATACCATATATCGAAAGCGTGACAGATGGAAATAAGGATTTTGAATTGTTGCTATGATCATTTAGTATCGTTTGTTTCGTAATGGTTTGAACCTTCACATACTCTCCAGCTTCATGGATTCCATTTTATGCCATTTTAGTAAAGTTTTTTTCTTTCAGAACTTATGCCCAATTTATGTTCGTTTTTTATCATAAATTTATAGATGACTATTGCATATTAATGTGATTATACTTGGTCAGAATATTTTCCATATTCTAGAAGTGGTATTTCTTGGCAGTCATTTGGTCACCAGTCAGAAAGTCTTAGCTTGATAACATTAAGCTATACCCAATAAATGGCATGACTCTATTTATTTAGGCGGAATGCCTAAATACAGTTCAAATATTTAGTTTGGATTGAAGATACTTTAGAAATTATTAGAAATTTTTTTTGTTTTATTAATACATATCTCATAACATTCCATAGTAGTTAAGTTTGATAAATGGTTTTGTTTTCAATAAATACAATGATTTTCTAATGTAGATGAATATAAATATTTAATTATGTGCCCTTACTATATATAATGATCTAAGAATATATTATAATGAAATGGTAAAAATTGTGTTACAGAACAAAATTTTTCAATCAACTTCCCGTTGACTTTCCATGAATACTCGTAACCTTAATATGTAAAGAGGGTTTCAAAATAGTTCGATGTAATAATTAGTTTATCAATAATAGCGTTTTCATTGTAAATTTCGGTACGCCACATTAATAAATTTTTGACGCTCTCTATATGCTTACAGTCATCCCCATGAAAGTAATCGAGTGTTGTATTATAGAGGTGATCTGAATAGAGCTTTAATCGTCTATTAAACTTCGGAATCAAATCATGGACTCTACACTTATTTAATATTTTCTGCATGATTATAGCCTCTCGTGAAGAACCCAGTCTTACTGAAGGAGTTAAACGGTTAATAGACTGTAGTGATGATATTACCAACGTTAAAGTTTTCGATATGTTCCAAAATTTTGGAGGTTCTTTATATTTCTCTAAACTATCCAATGCATTTTGTAGAGATCTGCGGTCTTCTGTGCTCCTTCCAAAATTGGGGCTGTGATCCATATGCCATAGAATATTAACCATAGTTTTCCTCAATTTGTTTGAAAAATATTTAAGAAGCTGCGGCAGCTCTGTATCAAGTGCTCTCATCACCTTTTCAAACTGAGCGTATTCGCCGACCTCACATCCATTGATTATTGTGCCATCGCGAATGGGAATAGCTTGACCCATATTAAAATGCTATGTAAAATTTATATATCTTATTAATATTAATAATTAAAAGAAACGAGTTTTTCATATACCTGAATTATGATTACAGAAATTAAAGAATAAATGAGATATTTTCTATGCATATTCAGTCTTTCTCTGCTGCGTTTCAGTTTCTATACTAATCTAATCTAAACGGTTTTTTAATTTATATGAGCTCAATAATAATTTTCGAATATCGAATTCTTGAAAATAACTCTTCAAAACAAATTGGAAAAACAATTATTTTTGAAGATTGAATATTTTTCACAATATCATAATTTCACGAATTGTTTGCATATTTTCATTCGATTGTATTCAAAACAATAAATCCATAGCTTTTACAGGAAGTAAAATCCAAATAATAATCTTGAAAATATTAGAAAATATTTTGCGCATTCATAGAATTTGAACTTCAATGCTTCAAAATATTTACAACCCACCGGGAAACGATTCAACGAAAAATCGAAACCTGAGCATCTTTTCAAAGTCTTATCTCTGATCAAGAGTCTCTTTAATTAAAAACAAAATTATTTTTTATTTTGTTTAGCAAAAACATGTAAGTCGACTGACTGATTATAATTTAAGAATAATTAGCTTACTCGTACTGATATTATGTCCAAATCAACTATTCACACTATCAGTTTCTGAAATTTGCTATATTGATGGATTTTTCCTATTTAATTATATTCGCCTTTTACTGCAAAGAACTTTATTTGTTTTCTTTTTGTTTTTTTCAGTAGATGGAAAGCATCGAAAGCCCCAGTGTCAGACTTGAATTCACTAAAACCACATCTTAGAAATGAATGCAGAAGATTTCCACAGTAGTGTGGAAACTTCATTCCAGTAATCAAGGGAGAGAGATGGAAGCAGATAGGCTTAGGGCTAGAGTCATCTAAGCTAAAAAGCAAGGGCATAATTTAGGGAGATTGAGTAATAATGAAGGGGGTGGCATTGTGAGGACTGAGCGATATGTGGAAATATTTCCAGGCACAAAATTTTTAGTGAGATTAGCTATAAATAATTTGAAGATCTTTGTTTACGTTTTTTAATATAATTACATACAGGCGGAATTATAAATTATCATTAAGTGAGCAAATGATTATTTGTTTGCTTATTTGAAAGATTTCAGTTATCATTTGCAATCAAATTTAAACACAATTTATGGGCATAAACTAATGATTTAACATAGCCCAAAAAAGGTAATAGGAAGACATTAAATCGCACGAACAAAGGCCCCAGTTAACGGGGCCACTTCTGAAAGTCAAGTTGTTACAAAATCGATTTCACAATAAATCGATTGTTAAGCGCACTCTATGGCAAGTTGCGCCATCTTGTTGGCAATAAGGTTGGATTATGCCACCAGCGTGTATACCAAACCAAACAGTCAATTTTAATCAATATAATGGTGATTCGTTAACGACTTAAAGACTATATTTGCTTCATATACCGCAATTTTACTTATTATTGTAGCCATTTAACCAGAAATGAGCTTCGTCACTAAACACAATTCTGCGACGAAGTGCTCTATGAACCTCGCAAAGAGATTTATTTTATCAGAATGAATTTCCAGAATTCGGAAGCGGTCTACTACCGTTAAATGATTAATGATTAATTGCCAAACGTTACTGAACAGAAATAGAATTTGAAATTCTCAGCTGTAGTTATCGATCATAGTTATCGATATCGATAGTTTAATATGAGTTGCCAGTTTTATACTGGCAACATCATTATTATTGTAATATTTTCGATGTTTATTTTACTGATTATTATTACAAGTATATGTTTTCGGTGTTCCTTCTGTTGCATTTGAAGATCATATGTTTAGCGTTGTCTTTGTCTGTAAATATATATACGGTTTTGCTGGGGAAACTTACAACAAACCGCGCACCGATCTAGCTGTCAAGCCAAAGATGACAGAAAGCACAAGTGACTATCGTTCGAGCCCTCCAACACCTAAATGTGAACAAATCATTTGTGTCTCGTACTATAGTTCGACAACGTAATACTGGTAGCGTTGCCCAACAGCCAGGAAGTGGACCAAAAAACCGGTAATAACACTAGAAATGATTCGTTAAGTGAATAAACGAATTGAGCGAAACCTCGACCGTAGCTGCAATCAAAGGATAAAGGAGCTGAACGTATCAGGAGAAAGGATACAACATATTTTTAAACATTAGCTTAGACTTAAGCCATTAAAGTTGAACAATGTGCATGATCTTACCAATGAACAAAAATGTTAGAGTCAAAAGAGCTAAAGTGTTGATTCGTTTGGTGGTAGGTTGCTGAATTCGGTTTTTTCTGATAAGTCATCATTCATATATGAGCAGTACGTAAAGAAACAGTACGTCTGCTTCTCGAATAGGTCAGTTGAAAATCTAAACATGCGAATGGCTACACGAAGCAAGAGCTAACTATGGTGATGGTGTGGGATGCCGTAACAGCCGATGCCCGATTGCTGACCATCGTGTGCATCGATCGTGGGATAAAAACAAACACTCAAATCTATCGAGAAATTTTTTTAGAGAAGCAATTCTTTCGCAGCCGATGGGTTTGATATAAACCCTTCAGATTTCTTTGTCTGGGGTATTATAAAAAGTAATGTTGACATTAAAAAATATTAAAATATTAATCGTGTTTTATTCCAATAGTTAGGTCCTTTATGGGCAAAACGTAGAAAGAAACAAAAAACATCCATCAACTTCAATATATAGTTACTCAAGTCTTCTAGTTACTTAAAGTTCAGAACCGTTTCTTTAGTATGGTTGTACTAAACGTATTCCATCGCTTATGCAACGTTTTCGAAAAACTAATGGACTAATAAGTGGAAAGAACTATTTAACAATACAATTTTGCTCCCTCCTTCTGCAGTAAAGATGATGTATATTTAATTTTTCTATAATGATTGGTGTATACCTTGAGATCGGATATACATATGTTATGTATTTAATTTTTTTTAGGATGCGGAATTAATATGTTACTTACTTTTTTAAAAAAATCGTTTATATGACAGTTACGAAAATCGAAGATTATAGTAAAATGATTTTAAAGTATTAAAAATAAAATATTTTTTCTTATCTAAATTGATAACTTAAGCAATAACATTTATCTTATTATTTATTAAGTTATTTGGTGTGCCAACTTATAAAAGTTGAGAACAATATACTAAAAAATATTTAATTTTTCAGTTAAAGCTGAAGAACTTCAGAAAAATCGGCTGATGGATAGACATATCCTCAATATGTCTAAAAACGATGTGCATGAATACATATTTGATCTATCAACTATTTAATCTTTAGTCTTTAAGTAATACAATACAGTAAATCAGAACTCAAGCTAAAACAAGGATTATCAATCTCGCAATAAAACAGTGTCTTAAGTCAAGTACGGCATAACATAGGTACGGCGAACATAAAAGTCAAGTACGGCTGTGGGTCAGTTGATTAAGGTGCGCTGACTCTAAGCTTCAAATTTGGCAGAACCCGAGTTCGATCCCTAGTACTTGCACTCTCAAAAAATAATTTACGAAAAATCAAATACAAGAATTATTTCCTAGACCACTGATGATTGGTATTTGGCAATACTCTAAACAGTTGTATGGTCAGCCAGAAATTCAATTAATTAAAATAATAAAAAATAAATTTTTATTGTTGTTGTTCACTACTGTTCGCAAAACCTCCATAAGTAATTAACTTTAATTTGCAACCATGATAAAGCCAATTTCAGAATAATTTTTCAAGACTCTATGATTCTGTGAGGCTTAACCAACAACATAACCTCCTTTGTTAAGTAATAATACAATTTTTAATACGGACAATTTTAACAAATAGAAAAAATCTTTTACTCTTGATAACTCTATGTCTAATATTTAAATGATTATCAAGTTTGTTGAGTTTATGAAGGTCACTGTTTGTTGTGGTCGTCTCAAACTATTTTGATTTAATAGAAAAATATTTCAATCGATCTAATATTATCAGTGATTAATTTATATGTGCATTTCCAATACATATGCAAATATTGCATGCAAATTACGATACATATAAACTTCGAAAGCTGTCTGAGTTCCCATAAATTGGCTGAGACGTCTGCTAATAATTGCAGTCTTCCTCCGATCTTCTGAAACTCTACATTCTATATTGTCTGTTACAAGACTAAATTTGTTAAAAATGAGAGGAAAGCTATTTTCGTTGATTTTAATAACTGTTCTTCTACAAGTAAGTAAATAATATATTTGTATTTACAAAAGGATTAAATAGTATTTCTCATATTTGCTATAGTGTATCAAGATACATGAAGCAGTCCCCGTACCTGAAACTAGTGTTGAACAAAGTGTCAAATCGTTAAAGTTTGAGTTTGAAACTAAAAACTCAGAAGAAGACAATGAACATTATAAAGAAATTATGGCGCTACTAGATGATGATTTACCTGACCTAATCAAATATTTTGCTACAGAGGATAAGAAAATAATGACAAGTGTTCTAGAAAAAACTGATACCGCAGATATGACGGATGCAATGAAAGAAGAACGAAAATCTATCGAAGATATCATAAATAGTATGAAGGATTTTGTGACATCAACATCCGACAATCAATTAAATGAATTGTATTTAATTTTTAAAAAGTCCCTACGGGTGATGAAGAAATATGATTTTGTGCATTTGAAAGATCCAACACCTGAACAGTTAACCATAGCTAATGTGATGAAAGATAATGGAGCAAGAGAACTAGTAATGGAATTCAAACGGCGACTAGATATATTTGCTGCAAAAATAAATACAGCAGTACTTGGTTTTACAAAGGATTACAAACCGGAAGATCCAAATGTTGTGGCGCAGGTGGAAAATTGGCATAAGTACTATGAAGAAACTAAATGTTTATTTAAGAAGTTCGATATTTTTGCCAGTTTCATGGAGACAATTCTAAATTAATTTGTTACAACGAAGAAGATAGGTGTGAATTATTATATATTTGAAATATATTGTATAAATTTTTTTGAAATTCTGTATGAATCATTTATTAGTTCTTAAAAACTCAACAAGACTAAACACTTTTTTATAAAATATTTCTATTTCTATCTAATATCTATTTCTAAAATTGTTTAGATATTTGTTATAAAGACAATTAACAAATTCAATTAACTAATATTTTTGCTCACCTTTATATCCGTCGATAGCTTTGACAAAATTAACCATAGTATCATTCCAATACTGAACGTTTGAAATGATATCTATTTATTATATATTTTCCTCAGTTATTACTATAAAGTAAAGGACAAAACTTAACTTCAGTGCAAATAACTTAGCAAATATTTCAGCACCTCCAATTCTCGTAATTTTTTGCATTAGAAACAAATTTGCTTTCAATATTTTCCTCTGTATATAAATTCGAACATTGATCTATCAACACTAGCATATATGTACAATGAAGATAAAGAAGTGGAAACTTTCTATATATCATTTGTGTCGAAATTGTGTCCCCAAAGACGGCTTTAAAGCTTAGAGAATACTTAGAAGTGCATTTTTCGTAAAATGATCTCAAGAAACCAATTTAGTACCAGACGGTGCATTAACGTGGTGCAAAAATCAAGAATTTTCCGCTGTTCTTGCTAATAACTTCACAAAAACGTTGCTTAACACTCAAATAAGAGTCCTTGTTAACTTTTCAATCCGGCAGAAGGAAATCATAATGTACCACACAAAAATAACCAATAAAACCTGCTAACATGACCTTCGTCTTTGAACGACTTCAGCGTAATCTTATCACTCTTGGTTGACCTTTTGCATAGTAGCCACTATGCATCTCGATTGGTCGCAAGTATGGATCCTAGTCTTATTATCAGTTAACATGTTTTGATCTTATGATAGTCAAAAAAACATTGTTTGACAGGCTTCAACGCAATGCCGTTATTCCAAAAAAGTGGCTGTTTTTTACATCAGACGAGTTCAAGGAAAATCATTTAATTTAATTCAATTTAATTTAATTTAATTCAGTTTAATTTAATTTAATTTAATTTAATTCAGTTTAATTTAATTTAATTATTAAACACTGAACTGAATTGAATAAAATTTAATTAGTATCAGCATGTGTTTAATTCGATGATTAACTCGATGATGTTTGAGCTATAAATCTTTTCATAATGTGTTCTTCATGGGTTGATATGGAAGGTCGTGTAAAGCGATATTTTCTTAAACGCTTTATTTGCGTTTTATGGGTTGCTTATATCAAATGAAAATATTACATCTAATATTATTTGCTTAACTAAATCAGATATTGTTAATACTTCAGATATTTAAATGGAAACTAATAAAGGTGTTAGTGACTGTACTACCAACCTAAAACAAAATTTTTAAATCGAAGAGCCTGCGTATTTTAAATCAAATAGTTGATTATTAAGACAGGTTCAAGCGATTTCCCTTAACCAATTTATTTTCAATATAAATATATAAATTTATTTAATGGAGAAAACTTTGGTTGTCATACAATATTCAAGAATAAGACCAAGACCTCTGAGAGAATTATAGAATTTCAAAATTTGTTACTTCACTCTAATTAATATGTTTATTTTACAAATTATTATATTTAACTGAACTATAATTTATATTAAAATAAATTGCTTATATATCAGCTATATGCATAGGAATTTTGTTGAACCATCAAATTCTTCTTCCATAATGCACGAAAACGCAGTGGATTTTCTAAAATGGAATATTATCGGGTATATCTGAGAAGACGTTCGTCAAAGATAATTGCATAATTGGCTTCGTGGATCACAGTTTATCATTGTCCTTTTAGATTAAAGAAATTGGTAACTCCTCTTGTACAAGGTGAGATGAAAAAACTGCAACAAAGTAAAACGCCATAATTTTTTCATTTTTTTTAAATTTTATTGAATGAAAGCAAAAAATGTCGGAAATAACATCAAATTTGAGAATCGGTTTAGATTTGTTCGAATTGGCCACCTTTGGCACCGAATATGGCCTTCAAAGGCCAATGAAACCATCACACGCTGCCCGAAAGTGGCTCTGCGGTATTTTGTCCCATTCTCGGCGAAGCGCTTGCTTGAGATGATCGACACTTTGGTATTTTTTAGTTCCAACCTTGCTTTCCAAAATACCCCAGGCACAATAGTCCAACGGATTGGCATCCGGAGATTTTGGTGGCCATTGTGCGGTGGAAATGAAGCGAGGAACCTCATTTCTTAACCATTCTTGGATGGCGCGTGCTGAGTGCGATGGTGCTGAGTCCTGTTGGAATGTCCAAGGTCTGCGGCCGAAATGTTTGCGTGCCCAGGGCTTCAGAACTCCCTCCAAAATATTTTCGCGATAGATTTGCGCATTTAATTTGACACCACGGTCGATGAATACGAGCGGCGAGCGACCATCGGCTGTTATGGCGGCCCACACCATCACCATGGCCGGCTTTTGAGTTGTGATGGCCAACCGAAGTTGCAAATTTTCAGCTGACCTCTCTGGCAAGTAAACACGATCATTTTGTTTGTTTACAAACTGCTGGATAACGAATGGTTTCTCATCGGAGAAAACCAAATTCGGCAGTTCACCACTTTCGGCCAAGCGAAACAACTCTTTAGCTTTTTCGAGTCTAACTTTTTTTTGCGCATCAGTAAGATCTTGCACTTTTTGGAACTTGAATGGCTTTAGTCCAAGCTCATTTTTCAATATTTGCCGAATGGCATATTGCGATATGTTCAGCTCACGAGCCATTTTTCGTCCACTGCGACGCGGATTTCGTTCAATTCGCTTTTTCACTTTTCGAACCATTTCTGCCGATGTTGCTGTTTTTTTTCGTCCACTTCCTTGACGTCGGGCTACGCTACCAGTATCATGGTAACGAGCGATGGTACGAGACACAAAACATTTATTCACTTTTAAATGCTGGAGGGCTCTAACGATAGCCACTTGTGGTTTTCCAGCCAAATGCAAAGCAATCACACTATCACGCTTGAATTCCATCACAAATAACTTTTTTTTTGAAAAATTCCCACCAAAATGCTTTTGTGCGCTTGTAAACAATATAATGAGCTGTCACTAGAATAAATCTGACAGCTGTGGGACGAGCGGTTTAGAAATGACAGCAGTCTGAAGTTGGTTGCAGTTTTTTCATCTCACCTTGTATATGTCGTATATTTTATAGAGTTATAAAAAAAATTTTATCCATCAAAAAGTTAGCAAACTCATAGAATAGTGGAAACAATCTTCTACTTACATCTGTTACAAATGAACATATGTTTAGATAGAGAAATATATAATTTTTATTGTTAATTTGAATGCATTGATTTAGCTGACGACTTAATAAGTACTGAAGTAATTTGATTGGTTCGAGTCTTACTAATAAAGTTTGCATGCCTTCCTTTTCAAGTGTATCAGCTGTAACGTTACCGTCTAATCCATTCTTGAACGTTTTCCAAATGTTTAACACTTTATCGTTAGATAACATAGTTATCCAACATTTGCAGCTTCAGATCAACTTGAAATTTTTAGTAGATTGAAGAGATTTTATTTCTACCTGGTTATGCAATTATAAATAATCCTACTAACGTCTTGTATCGAAAGGATTTGAAGGCATTATACAGATTTTAATAGAATCAATTTCTGCATTATTTGATCCGCTTCTATGATTTGGTCCGTCGATGAAACAAACGCAAGAATTTACAGATTGCACGTCTCCGTTCTTCCATTTTCTTTTTAGGAATTACCATATTACACTTGAAAGATGAGAAATTATCTTCATACAGGATAGCAGAAAAGTGAAAAGTTGGGATATCCTATAAATTCGTCCTCAAGAAAGTAATTACATATATGGTGTACATGAACTCCTATAATTTTAATTAATAAAACACAATTTTATATATCTTAATATTGTTCATATTTTTAACCATTTTGTGTTACTTTTCTATTATAATATTATAATTTTTCCGCCGTTAAAGAATTCTGAGGTTTTTGAATTTAAAAACTAATATAAATCTTTTTCATAGTCCTCTTTTGAAATTAATTTTTCCGCAAAAAATTTGTACGAATCACTTCTTTGTAATTTATTACAATTGAGCTCCTTAGCTCTATATAACTTTATGGCATATATCATTAAAACCTTCAACATTTTTGAAATATTTAAAATTGCACCTCAATATTCTTCAATAACTAAATTCATTCATGACTTGCTTGTTTGAACAGAATCTTTCATAGAAAAAACGGATCATTTTGATTAGTTGCCAGGTATGAACCACAGTCTCAGGTATGAACTACAGTATTAATATTATTACAGTATTGATACAGTATTGACATACTAATTAAATTTATGAAATTTCCTTTACACTTATATGATTGCAGTGCTTTATACTAGTATAATTTGATACAGTGCAAATCACTTATAGATACGTCTGATACGTCGACATATCGGTTATTCCGACCATCTTTTAATACAGTTTCGGGTCTGGTAACTTTTCTTTGAAGCATTTGAAAACATATTATTACCTAAAGAAATTGTTTGTTCTACGACAATTTTATAAATCCATAAGTACAGCAAAGAAATCCATGATAGATGAAATAGGTAATAATAACAAAAATAAAACATTTGATTAACAACTGTCCTTAGCCTAAGCATATATGACAGTTTATTCGCCAGAAAAGCTTATATACATAAGTGAAAGCTTCAATTTAGAAAGTTTAAACAAAAATTTTAAAATATACAATTATAAATGATAATATATGAAGAAAGTCAGTCCCTTCAATGTCATTATAACAGAGTTTTGACCGTATTACATATCTTCCATACAAAACATGAACTCTAAGAATTTGATGGTGTCCTTTCTGAATATTTAAAATCACTCTCTTTAAACTTAAAAAATCCTTTGCAATTTCTGCAAACTTATTCGAATTCTAAGAAGAAGAAAAATCGTTGCAAACTTTAACGTTGTTGGTATTTTATATTAAACTAAAAATAAACTTAGCGTTACTGCCTTTTACAGCATGTACTCTTTATATAGTTTGTAACACTTAATGTGAATGAGAATTATATTTGATTTCTTACAAAACTATTTTGTCATTAATTTTAAACACGTGTTAGGAATATTTTTTATTGTATTAAAATGTTATCATTATAAACGCTCATTTAAGTAGGTTTATAAATCTATATTTGTCTTTAAATCAGTAAATCTAAATAGTATAAGTAAAAGTGCAACTAAGGAATTATAAATCATTTGCGACACTAACAGTAACCATTTGATATTCTACATTTTTGACAAAAATGATGAATCATACCAACGACATATGAAAACATAATATTTTTCAATTCACATGGTTTGGCTTTAAGTTTCCTTTGCTTCAAATGTGACTAGTATTTTTAATTAATAATGCTACAGAAACAAAAATATGCTTCACAATATCATGTTTTTAAGATCTGCCACTCTATAAATATTTATTTTCTTCTTATTAATGTTAGACATATGTATACATAAATAATTTATACACGCCACTCGGGCATAAGCTTTTAAGTGATTTCCAATATGGATTACGATTTCGCTGAAAGTCTTTTTATGAGCTCATTTCATAAAATAAGAGGACCGGTAACCACGAAAATTTTGAAATTTCTTTCCTAGGAGTTATGGACCCATGAGAATTGAGAATTGGCAATGTAGACACATTTTCAAAAGACCATATCTCAGCCTATATAAATGATGGAAACTTGAAATTTATTGCGTTTTAAAGATAATTGATTAAACTTTTTGGAAATTGTTTAAACAGATAAGATTTTTTCTATTTAAGTAAAAATATTAACCCTTACATTTCAAAAAAAAAACTTTTTCATTTTTTATATTCTATTTAGATTCAGTTTTAAATTTTACTGAGAAATAAAATTTTCAGGATGGCTTTATTTTTTGAAATTTTTTAATGTATTTTTTCTCCGCGAAAAACTTGATATAGCACATGCGTACTATATTTCCATTGAATGAATTCTCAAAAAATATAATACAAATATTCTTATATATTATTTTTGATTTCGATTAGTAATAAAATTTTACACGAAACCCAAAAATTGTCATTAGAAGTACTTTTAAAAGCTTAATTTATTCTTCACATTACACTTTTTTTCAGTACAAAAAAGTTTTAATCTAGATTAACCTATAAATTTTACTTAAAAAACAAATATTTCCAGTGTGGGATTGCTTTTAGAAGTAATTAAAAAAAATTGATTTACCAGGCGTTCTACACGTCACTCATACGCACCATAAATACTATTAAATCAATTTAAAAAAAAAAAACAACACAAAATGTTAATAATAGAAAATGTTAGAATGATATTCTAGAAGAGAAAAAAGTTATAAACTTTCGTAGTTAAAAATTTTTTATTCACTATAAAACCATTTCTCTATGCAAAAATAGATAAATTTAATTATTCTCGCTTAGAGCCTTTCAATGCAAGTACAGATAAATATAAGAGAACCTTCTTAGCCTACTAAGCTACATATTTAATAATCACACTCTTATTCTGGAAACTTCCTCCTATGAATATAGTAAAATTATGGAAATTAAGAGAATGTGGAACACTTCCTCTACAGCTTGCTCAGCCCTAGCTAGAAGAACAGAGATATTGTTTGATTGACGTTATTTATTATCACCTGATTGACACCATTTCATGTTGAAGTTCAGTTGATATTTAAATTATAAATGTCATAACTTGCAATTAGATTCAAGCAATCTTTAAAATCTTAGCTTACTGGTTAATTTATGTCTCAAAATCTTGCTCTTTGTATCAGAGAAAACACTCACGTCGAGCTCAATTCTCTTTTCGAAACTGATAAGCTAGCATGCACTCCCTTGTGAAAATAAATTTCTTATCATAAGCAGAATATAAAAATATAATATAATCCCAAAGACGTCAGACGATTTTGAGTTTTGTAAGGCCCATGTTATATACAGTATCACAGTGCCTAAATTTTAAAGAAAATATACATACGTGTACACAAAACTGCATTAACTAAATGTCAAAACACAGATAGCCTCGGCTCTCATGACCACGGTTGCCACTTATGGTACTTTAGTACCAAAACTGGTACTTTTTTTTCCGTTTGGTACTCTGGTACTCATGTTCAAAAAATGGTACATTTTCGGCGACCCAACTTTATTGTGGATATTGTATTGTTTTATACTTTTTGTACATTTTATATAAATTGTATTTTCTTATAAAAAGACAATAGAAAAATTTTGGATCTTTTTTTACAGAAATGGTACCTTTTTAAACCAATTTTGGTACAGAAAAAAATTTTCAAGTGGCAACCGTGCTCATGACCGAATTTAAACCGACATTTGTTTTCTTCAATCACTCTCAGTTTTTTTATTTGTATTGAAAACAAAAACAATTTTGATTTTGACGTGCCCGTGACACGCTACATGACATAGGCCTATGTGGCTTAAGAAATTTTATTGATTAGGAAGTGCATTTTATTTTCTCTTAAAGTGTTATCAGATTTTTATGTATATATAAAAACCGAAAAAACTATCTATAAACAAAATAGATGCGAAATATTTAAAACGATTAATTTCGTCTGTGAAAGTAAGAACTCTGATATGGAACGCACAATCTTTTAAAATTTTCATTTGGATTTTTTTATTTTTAAATTTATTATATGTTATTAAGTATTTGAACATTAAAAAAACCACAATTTCTTGATGAATGATAACATAATGCCCTGAGTGTTTAGAAAAGTATTTATGTTTTATTCGTTATAACTTGTTAGAACACCTTTGTATGAGATTTCAATAAAAGTTCCCAAATTAAAATATATAAAATCGAAAGTAATTTTATACTCAGTTCAGTCACAGTTTGAAATCGTACTACTAAAAACGTATACAAGAGATTAACTTTTAATAATTAGAAGTCACAATGAGTAGCAAAATTATATATTTTGCATTAGTACTGATTTTATTTGCCCAAGTAAGTATATTGTCAATTTTTCGCAGTGCATATATGGTATTTGTTCTTTGGTAGATTGGCATATCTCGTCGAACCAGCGACTCATCCCAGGAATCTGAAGAAAGCAAAACAGAAGTAAATGTAAAGATAGCCATCAAAAATAATTTAAATGATAATGATTCTAGTTCTGAATCTGATTCGGAAGAACTTAAATTAGAAGAAGAAGTGCAAATAGAAATATTTAATAGGCTATTTAGTGATTTAATTGATTTCGCTAATTTAACAGTTGAAGATACAAAAGTCTTATTAACCCAAACATTAATTGACATCACAAAAACTACAGAAAAAAGTGAAGAAGTAGATAAGCATTTCAAAGTATTTTCCGATTTCTTAGAGAAAGCAGAACAATCTAAAACCATCACTTCACCTTATAAACAAAAAAGATATTTAATTGAACTGGCATCCTCAATCCCTAGCATGTTCATTCGGTATGATACAAAAACCACAAATAAATTCACAGTGGAAGAGGCTTTGATTCATCTTGCATTGCTAAAAAATGGATTTACGGTCTACGAGGATAACTACTACAACCGTTTGAAAGTTTGTATGGAAAAAATAGAAGAAAAAGTACAACTACACATCAGCAAACATTCAAATGAAGACAAACAGAAGGTGGAATTCAGGGAATGGTATGAAAAATTCAATAATGAGAAAGATGCAGATGCAAAGTATCAAATCGTCCTTGAATTCTTTAAATAAAAGAATTGCTTTTAAATTAAATTTTAATAAACAAAAAACAATCGTTTGTTTCAATAAAAGTTTTTTTTCTCGAAACTAAGCCATAATCTTTCGACCTGTTAATGCAGTCGATTGGTTTAATTTTTCTGATGACCGGATCTATTATTAGGTCTCTTAGCATGTCATTCGTGCGAATACACCATGCTACTTTGAAGAGTTTTTGGAGAGCCTGACTTTAAACAACTAGTATCTTCTGAATAGTAGAGTCGGCAGCTTTGCTATACGCGACACACCCATAAAATAGTGCTGGTAAAATTATCTGGCTGTAGATCAGCCTTAGATTCTTCGCGCTAAAATTGTTTTGTTTAAAAAGTGGTTGTAACCATTGCAGTGTTTTTGTGCAACTACTTCTTTTGACTTGTATGTGCTTGTGCCAAGTGAACTGCTTCTGTGTTACACGTGACATAACTATCGACGATTCTGTTCTGTAAATGCAGATAGTTAATACCAGCTCAAGAAATCGTATTGTTATTGATATGTTTATCTATCTGCTCATATCAAGAAAGGCACGCTTTTAATACATTATCGATAAAGTATAGTTTTAATTTGAAAAACTTTTATGAATTAATTTAATGGTCAGTCTTGTAATGTCCTTTCTATGCCCTTACCAAAACTGGGGTATACTCAGAATATACCAGTGTACAGCAAAAGACTTAAAAATGAAAATAGTAAATCTCTAAGTAAGTAGTAAATAAAACAAATGAAAAATGCAGTTAATGAATTTATTTGTGTAATAATATATAGACCAAAATATACCTGGATATAAAAAAAAAACCATATATAACTCTCGAAGTTAAATATTTTTCCGAGACTCAAAATTAAGAATAAAAATTTTTATAAATAAAAAAATAATTAAGGAAAAAAGAAAAAAAACAATATATTTGCCGTGGACCTCTTTTTTTTCTTTTATATGATTTAATTAATTTACCGTTTATATATTGTGGGACGTTGGGACAGTGAAGGATTAGCCGAAGTATACCACGAAACCCAAGTAGTTTTTGTCCTTTTTCATCCTTCGATTCTCGAATGTCGTTATTGAGTTAAAGCTGGAGTGGCTTCCGTTCGCATAACTACATCTCTTGTTAATGCAAGCAGCTCAATTAGCAATTAATTTACCATAATCGGTACTCACCGCAGCTGTTATGATGGCGTCACCGTTTCACTACTGTACCTAGCTACATTTATAAAAAAAAAAAAACAAAGGGAAAAAACTTCACTAGAGAATAGTTGCGCACTTACAGATTTCTTTATAATTCACAAAATTTTTCTTTTACATTTTCTACTTATTGAAAAAAACTATAATTTTTTGTTCTTACGTACATACATATAAATTATATATGTAGTAGTAGTAGTAGCTTTATTTTTACTTCATTTTAAAGTTATTATATTACATCGAAGTTATATAATAATTATAATACATATAATTATAATAAATATACATAAAGCTTACAGCTATGGCATTTTAGCCGTCTGCCGGAAGTTTAGATTAATCTAATAGCTAATTAACTAATAACTAATTAATCCAATTTTTATAAATATTAAATAGGTATTCTTGCTTATGAGCTCAATACAACATAAAAATTAAATTAAATTACTTTAACAAAAATAATAGATTTTATATAAGTTAATTTAAAAGTCTTCATTAATAATATTTTGCCTATATTTAAATGTAGTTTTAATAAACGCCGTTAACAATCTCCAGTTGGGGCCATTCAGTAACCGTATGGTTTCATTGACATCGAGCGCGGGTTTACCGAAGTACAGCAATCTATGTTCTTTAAAAATTGGGCATTCGCCTACTAAGTGTATAACATCGCCTTTCAATTTAAGGTTGCATATCGTGCACAGCGTGTCTAGACTTTCGTGCGGCACGTAGCACAATCGTAGGAGCTCGCCGCGGGTTTTGAAGATTGTCCTTATTGTTTCTAGGTCATATTGCTCGTGAAAGTAATTATTGACACCTAGATCATAATTCAACTTACTATATGCATCTCTCGATATACTGTTTCTTGCCGTTTCTACAAAATTTCTACGTTCTTCAATACTTAGTTTCGTTATTATATTTTTTTGCCACATTTTCCAGTTTTCATTAATACTCAAATCATTAGTTATATTTAACTCGGATGCCAGATTTGACCATTTTTCAAAAAATAATGTTTTTTCATTTATTAGGTACTGCGCTAATGTTTTTTGAATCCTATTGTCTGGCAAATTCCTAACACGATTGATATAATCAAAATGCAATTTTAATGTTTGGGTATATAGCGTCGGTAGACCAGTTTCTAAATGCACCATACCGAAAAGTTTTCGGGAAATTTTAAATAAAACGCAAAATTCTTAACCTTCATCAATATTTATTTTATCTCCTTCAAAATATGCTCCATTAGAAGCGATACACAAATGCCAACGTTTCTTCCAATCATCAAAACATTTTTTATAGGCGCTTTCCGGTATGGCTTTGAGTTCCCTCTGCGAATTCTGTTTTACGTCTTCTATGGATTCAAAACGCGTTCCTCTGAGTGGTAATTTGAGGTTGGGAAACAGGAAAAAGTCACACGGTGCAAGATCAGGTGAATACGGTGGCTGTTCGATGGTATTTATTGAATGTTTGGCCTTAAAATCGTTGATAATGTTGAACAAATTGAGGTGAATCGGAACAAGCCGGGCGTTGACACGTCGCATACACAAATTGTCCACCAAAATCAAACGAGCCATCTCACGACCGATGCCTAGCTCTCGTGCTATCTCTCTAACACTCACATGAGGATTTTTGAACACGATTTCCTTTGCCTTTTCAATGTTTTCGTCGGTGGTAGAGGTCGAAGGTCGTCCAGAACGCGGCATGTCTTCGACGGTCGTACGACAGTCCTGAAAGGCTTTGTACCACTCATAAACTTGAGTTTTCGATAAAACTGATTCCCCATAAGCCTTTTGTAGCATTCGCAACGATTCTGCACACGAAATTTCGTTCGAAAAACAAAATTTGATGCAAACTCTTTGTTCAATATTTTTTTCCATTGTTTTTTTCGCAACGCACTACTGAGGTGAACTGGTTTCAACAGCTGCCGTAAACGAACTGTCCGACAGATCGCGCTCATTTTTGGCATAGTAATTAAGGACAGTGCTGCCAAACTACATAAACTTAAAATATCGAAAAATATACAGCGCGCGAATTTTAAATGAGAATTTCCGAAAACCTTTCGGTCACAATGTATAATTTGGGGTATTTTTCGGCAAACGAAACGTTCTCTTTATATAAAATGTCTGCAATTTTTCTACTGCGTCATATTTATCAACACCCCAGATTTGCGCTGCATAATTTAGAACTGACTTAACTGTGGCTTCAAAAACTTTGTATTTTACGGGCAGTGACACTTTCGGATTTCCTAAGACATTTATCCAGGTACAATTAATAGCCAATTTAGCTTCCTTTAACTTCTCGTTCAAGTGGTTATCGAATTTTGCGTTATATTTCATATTTATTCCTAAATATTTATAATTATTAACCGCTTCTAATTGATCATCGTTAAGGTACCATTTTTCATCATTTCTCAATCTTCTAGCATGTTTCCTAAATACCACCACTTTTGATTTGTCTGTATTTATAGATAGTCCCCATAAGTTGCAATATCTATTTAATTCATCTATCATATTTTGTAACATTATTGGAGAATCTGCAAACAACACAATATCATCAGCATATAATAGTACTTATATATGTATTATATAAGTATTATATAAGTAATATATATACATATATATTATATATGTATATATATTATATAACTATTACTTTAAAAAGTGAAAAAAAAACAATTCAATTACGTTAATCTAAGGAAAAAATATATAATGAAAATGATTATATGTAGTTATTTCACTTGAATCTTCTATTTAAAAAAAAAAAATCGGTTACGAATGCGAAGAAATGTAGGGGTCTAGGGTCTCTACCAAATCTTACTGAGCTCGTTAGTGTTAAACGCTGAACGATGACTAATGATGACACGAATTCAGTACGGAAGCATCGATTACTGCAGGCACCACACAATTTAGTTTTTTTATGCCAATAAACTCAAAACATGGACATCATTTTAAAAAAAATTAGAACTCCATTAGCTTGGAAATTGACAAAGGTCGTTTTTATTCCTAAAGCTGGCAAAAGCTCCCATATTACGCCTAAAGATTTTAGACCGATTAGTCTATCCTCTTTCCTCTTAAAAACTTTAGAAAGGCTTTTGGAGCATTTCATTAGGAAAGAGATACCAGATGAAAGGCTTTCAAAATCACAACATGCGTACTGTAAAGGAAGGTCTGTAGAGACCGCATTATCATCTCTAACTGGGGTGATTGAGAACTCAATACAGCATAAAGAATACGCCCTTTGCGCCTTTCTTGATGTGGAAGGGGCTTTCAACAACATCCTTCCTCAAGTAATCGTCAACTCATTAAGAAAACTAGGAATTGACAATAGAGTAATCGAAGTCATTACCCAACTGCTGGTTGATAGGACAATCGTAGCGCAGTGGGGGGGAACGCTAGTAACTAAGAAAGTTAATAGGGGGACTCCACAAGGAGGAGTACTTTCCCCCCTCTTATGGCTAACTGCAGTTAATGATCTTCTTGTTGATCTAGATAGCGCAGGTTGTCAGGTGGTCGCGTACGCGGATGATCTTTCCTTGATTGCAAGGGGAAAATTTCTGAGTACAATTAGTGAGGTAATGCAGGGTAATCTAAATAAAGTATCCCAATGGGCCCATTGTAGCGGATTATCAATAAATCCAACCAAAACAGAACTAGTGCTCTTTTCTAGGAAATATAAAATTCCGGAATTCACACTACCTATCCTAGGAGGTCAAACTCTAACTCTGAATGATAAAGCCAAATATTTAGGTCTTATAATTGACAGAAAACTGAATTGGGGACCAAATGTTGTTGCACGTACCCAAAAAGCTATGGTTGCCTTTTACTGTTGTAGAGGCGCTATAGGCAAAAGATGGGGACTCTCACCGAAGTCCATTTTATGGATATATAATGTGGTAGTAAAACCAATTCTCTTGTATGGAGTGTTATTTTGGAGAAATACTCTGAATAGGTCAACACTATGCAAGAAATTGGAAAAGGTTCAAAGGACTGCACTGATGACATTAAGCGGAGCGTTAAAATCAACGCCGTCACTTGCCATGAATGTTATCTTCAATATCTTACCTATCGACATTGCGGCGAAAGGCGAGGTAGCTGGGGCAGCTTTACGTATAAGAGAACTAGGAATTGGAAGCAGTTGTGGATGGATGCAAGATTCCATCCTCAGAGAAATTGATTTCATTCCGGATATAACAGACTACTGTACTACAATTACAATTGTGGACAGAAATCTTGAATTATTTATTCCTTCTAGGGAGACATGGAAAAACTACTCTGTAAAGAGTGATAATCGCCTTAACTTCTTTACAGACGGCTCAAAGTTAGATGGACAAGTAGGAGGAGGAGTATACTGCCCTGAACTAGATCTCAGTATGAGTTTCAGGCTACCGGATCACTGCAGCGTTTTTCAAGCTGAAGTATCTGCTATATTGGAAGTTTCAGATTGGCTGGAACACAATGTCTCCTCCGTTAAATTTATAAACATATTTACTGACAGCCAGGCAGCTATAAAATCCTTAAACTCGTCGACCTTCAACTCGAGGTTAGTACTGAATTGTCTTACATCACTTATGGTGATGGCTGAATATTTTCGGATACGAATTATTTGGGTCCCTGGACATAGGGACATCCAAGGCAACTGTATAGCAGATGAATTAGCAAGACATGGTACGACAGCACAAATTCTTCTGGAAAAAGAAAGTGTGGGTATACCAGTTGCTTCTTGTCGGCACCGAATAAAATTATGGACATACCAAATGTTTGAAAGAAGATGGTCAACAGTAACCAACTGCATAAAAACCAAGGAATTTTGGCCAAAAATAAATAAGAAAAGATCGGGGGAATTAATCAATCTATCCCGAGCAAATTTATCCAGGATAGTGGGAATTATTACGGGACACTGCCCGTTGGGAGGACATGCCGTGAGACTCAACATCAGGACCTCCTTACATTGTAGACATTGCATGGAGGATGATGAAGAGGAATCACCAACACACCTTCTGCTACAGTGTCCTGCCTTCGCAAGACATAGACTATCCTACTTAGGGTCGCACTTTTTCTATTCATTAAGAGAGCTAGATTCTATTTCCATAGCTCGTGTCAATGGCTTTGTAGCCAATACCAAGTGGTTATAGGGACAGGTGTCAAATTCTTAGGGTATCACAATGGACCTCATGGTCTAAGTGTGTCTTCGGACGGCCCCAGTAACCTAACCTAACCTAACCTAGCTTGTTTCTTTTATTCACGGCAAGTCGTCAATTATTGAAGCAATGCAAATAGCATTGCAAATCACATTCAAATAATTTATAATTTTTATTTTCCAAAAGCACTCTTTACAACATCCGACTCCCCCTTTTATCCCCTTTTTTTCAACTGCTTAAATCTAAATTTTCTTTCACTCGGTTTGTTGGTCAGTCTACCATAATTTTCACCTCACCAGATATTTGAGGTTTTATTTTCGGATTTGTGGGAGCTTTTGTTTCCTTCTCTTTAAATTTTTCGCTGCAAAATTTAGTGATCAAAGCGAAATGTCAATAAATGAAGTTTTCTAATGACATTTGGTGACAATATGAATTTTATTTGCATCTAGTAACTGGCGAATGAGATGGCCAGAAGAGGTTATGAACTGTAAATAAGGGAGGCCGACATCTCAATACAAACACCGATCTGCAAATTGTTTAAAAGCAAAAAGAAATTCACAAATGCGGTCACTAATAGTTTATGAACTAACTACAAGGACTGTGAGGTCGCTAGGACCTTATGGCCTAGATTGGACAAAAATAAAACGAAAAGACTTTTGCGCTTCAGCAAACCTGCAGTTCATGTACTTACTGGAGTACTAACGGGGCACTATGCCATTACGCCTATGATTTAATAGTGACGAGTTCCAACAAGTGGATTATGCAGGAGTTGCCAAGAGGAAGATGATGTAGAATCCATCAACCATTTCCTGTATCTCTGTCCAGGACTGCAAACAAGATGACTTCAATGCCTTGGGGATCGCTTTGTCACTGGCTTGGAAGAAATAACGAAAGTAAACTAATCATATCTTTTTACCTTTATCTGGATAACCAAATGGTTTAACAAGGATAGTACACGAAGGTAACAAAGGTTAGCAACTCGCCTCTCCCGTCAAAATCTTTGAGGGTATCACAATTAGCAGTACATGCCTCCGAGTGGAAGTGCTAATAACTGTCAGTACGCGCCTTCTTAACCTAACCTAACTGGCGTATTTGATGGTGGTTTTTTCTATTTTCCCCAATTTGTTGACAACAAATTTAATAATTAAATTAATAACATAGATTTTTAATATTAATATAAATTAATATTATTAATTTTTCCTAAACTGCGTGATATATATTTTTATAATGTCCGTGCAATATTTATCATCCCGTCACTTTAATATTTATTTTTTTTTTTTAAATTATTATTTCCAGACGGAAAATTGATCATCACTCTCTTGAAAGAATATTTAAGCTATAACAAGACAAAAACTGACTTCTCATTCTTATATTATTTTCTTATATTACTGTCTTATTAGTTTGAACTTTCTCTAGATGTGTTGTATTATATATTTGAATTTCGTGAATGGGTGTTAACAATGATCAGAGAAATTCGTATTAAAATATAAGAATAAAAAAACTTAATTACATTAGCCGGAAATAGTTTAAATTGTGGGGTAAATGTTCTAAGAATGTAAGCATTTTCTGTAAAAAATTATTCAAAAAACCAACTTATCATGTTGTTAATATTTTAAAAATATATATTTCCTACTTCTCCAATGATAGTTCCATCATATTAGAATAGAAATATGATATGGCAAGAAATAAATATTTTAGAAGTCAAGTTAAATTCTTTATTCGATTTAAAAAGTGATGCTGCATAAAATGTTTGTGGTTCTAATATAATAGTATACGTATACTTTTCGATAATTTGTTTAATTATTATTCAAAATATTAAATTATCAAATGATTATTAGCTCATTCAGTCGCAACAATTGTGTCCATAAAACTTGAAAATATGTCGAACTTTTTGAGTAAACAATCCTCGTCATCGTATTTCTTATGCCAGCCCTCTACCTGTTCAGCAATTTTCGGTTCCATTTTGTGATCTTTCATAAAAGCAAGTGTTTCGGTATTAATTTTACCAGCATACGTATCTAATCGATTTTCGAATTCAGTCAATAATTCTGGAACACCATTTTCCTTCATTACAGTCATCATGGTAGTCTGTTCAGTTGTTGGATCCTTCATTTCTTTTGGGTCATATTTCATCATTTCTGCTAACGAATCTTTAAAAATCGTATATAAATCGTTTAATTTAGTTTTAGATTCAGATGTCTTAAATTCGTCCATTTTATGCAAAATTCCTTCAAGCGTCTTTCGCTCTTCTTTCATAGCATCTGTCATATCTGTGGTTTCTGTTTTTTCTAAAACAGTTTTTAATACTTTTCTGTCTTCTACAAGAAAGTATTTGATCAAATCATGTAAGTCGGTTTCTAGCAATACCATGATCTTCTTATAGTGCTCATTTTCTTCTTCAGAGCTAACGCTTATGGGCTCAATTTTTAAAGAATTCAGATTATGTTCAACACTAGTTTCAGGCACAGGAACCGCTTGACACACTTGACCATACTGTAATGAAAATTTACCAGAATGTAAATACTAAACGCTTCATTTAATTATTTATTGTACTAACCTCTATAAGCAAAATAACTGCCAAAAGAGAAAATAACTTTCCTGTCATTTTAAGTTGATTTTAAGTTAGACCTAGACGCTCCAAGATGAAATACGAGTATAATATGTTGGATTGTCACAACTAGACTGCAATTCCAAACAAGTTGCCCCGTCAATTTATGCAAATCCAAGCCTTCAAAAATTTTGCTTTAGAATAACAAATGACATTGCTGATGTAAATAATATTGCAATTTTTTTTGTGATGTATAAATTTTTTATTACACCAAAAAAAATGTTTATCAAGTAGTTGTATTTGCTTTGTGTTATAATTAGAATTATAATCTAGTATATAGATGGATGGAAAGGAAAATTCACAACAGTAACCTTCAGTTTACACCTTCCTCCCTCTAAATAACCGTGAAATTATTTAGGTGTATTTTGATTTAAAAGATTATATTCTTACATCAACTGATAGTGATAATAATATATAACAGATTTAAAAGCATTTATTGTTGCTGAGCAGCATATATTTACTTGTAAGTCGTTTGAATCAGACTGTATGAAAAAAAAATATTTTCTTTTAAACTTTGTCTTGCAGGCAATTCATTATGTACTATTTTATAATATAGTTTATGTAGAGTCTATATATTTTTTAATGGATTAGGCTTGCTATCATATATAATAGATTATTTAATTCAATTTCAGCGGTTATAGTTCTCGCGTAACATTTGTACTCAATATAACGAAGGATACAAACTCAAGGTCCTTCCGTATATCGAATATTATTTGCAATATTCAATATTTAGAGAGGATTTCTGGTATATTTGCTATTTACAAATGTCTGTTCTTTTGTTTTTTAGATGTTTTATTATATTGAGTATTTGTTAAACCGAAAATCTACTGTATTTTATTTTTTCAACTCTCTGTAGAAACTGTTACATCAATATTCAAATGAATAACACAAATATCAGATTTTTCCTTTTCCTTTTTATCAAGAAATAATAATCTAATCTTTCGTCCCCTTTAAAATAGCTCTTCATCGTTATATACTTTATATTTATGCCTATATATTTTGCACGATAGAAGAGGCTGTTTTTTACATTGCGATTTTAGCTCGTTCTGCAATTTTGTCTTTATGTTATCTATTAATGAACAGCGTTATCCTTGGAAACTTTTTTGAGATTTAAAAATAAGAAAAAAGCCATGGCGCCATGACTGGAGAATTCATAATATTTATAGAGTATTTATAAAACTAGACTGATGGTAATTATTATTCATGAAATAAAAATCAACAGCTTTGCTGTCACTCCTTTCATATCTAAAACATTTGTAAAAATAACTATGCATAAACTGTATGATATTCCTACTGCTTCAGGCACCTCCATAATGATAATTCTTCTGTTAGAGGCAGTTTCATTTTTTTAGAATCACGTCATATTTTCGTCAATGACTTATCGTTATAAAAAGAACATTACTTATTAAATTATTATTAAAATTAAAAATAATAAAAATTAAAATATCTTTTTTTTTCATAATATAAGGTAAAATAACATTACACGTTGATGCAAGCATAACGACGTCATAAGTGCACGACAGCTCATGTTACTCTTTTTATAATAGAAAGATATAGATACAGAGAGAGAAAACATATTAAAATAAAAATACACCGGCATATATTATTTCTTTTTTATAATAGGAACTGTACCCTTATAAACGTAAGGGTACAATTAACTCTAAACCCTTAACCCCATAACTCGTTCAGTGGTCAGTTTCAAAATTCTCCCGAAAAAAGAATTTTTGCATTAATAAATCTGATTATTTATAATCTATAAAAATTTGTTAATATAGAAGAGTTTGAAATGATTGTATTTTTGAATTCGTCTTAAAAAGACCATATTTATAGAAAACATTGAACGCTTAAAAATATATTAAAATATTTCATTTAATCTGTTCTAAATAATATACTGATTAGTCTTCTAATAATAATTAAGGTTAGAATTATAATTAATTGAAATTAAAATTAAAATTATAAAAATTATAGCCAAAATAACTTTTCTGTCACTTTTTATTTTTAATAATAATAATTAATTTAATAAAATAATAATAATAATAATATTTTTCAACTATTAGTTGTTCCTATATAACATCAATTCAATCGGATTTTTGTCTTTGCTGACCCACTGTGTCCACATGTGATTGTGTATTGTGTACTGTGGGGTCTTCGCAGTTGATGAGTTCTTCGCAGTTGTCATTGTTCTATTTTCTTCTCTAGTTACTTTCGATATTTTGAATAACAATAAGTGTTGTCAGGAAATGGTCGAAATAGTTTCTGTAGAGAATGGGTATTTGGTATTGAGTATGTATTATATATCCGGCGCTTATACTAAAACATTCTGTATATCGTGCTTATGTGAACATTTTTGTACGGTAAGCTGGCGTATTTTATTTATCTTTTACGTAGATGAAGGTTTCAGTATACTTCATATATAAGGTTCTTGTACAAATAAATGTTAGATCCAATTTCGAACCGTTTGTAGCAGAGCAAATTACTGTTCAGAATCATCTTAAGTTTCAATCTACACCTTTTTGTGAAAGCAGTTTTGTAATTCATCTCTTTGTGACGATGAAAGCTGAAACCACTACAAATACATATCGAAATATTTGTGTGGTTTAAGGTGAGAATACTATAAGTAAAAATTTTAATATCAAAGATGTCTACTGGCATCAGTAGACCAATCAGTAAAAAATCTAAAAAAATTTTGTGACTAATGAAGCAAGACTAGCGACACTTAAGCTGTCAAGAGTTAGCGGAAGCTTCAACACTAAACATTACCTACATCACAGGTAAAATTTGACAGTTTGAAACTATTTAAAAAGAGTAAATATATGTAATTGTTCTAATTATCATCAGTAAAATCCTGCTAGAACGCGACGAAACCGAATTATTTTTGAAACGAATCATTTTAGGCGATGAAAAACTAATTAAATATGAAAATATCCAATGTAAGCCATTATGGTGGAGGATCAGTGGCCCTACATAAAAAAATGATGCCGAAGACTGGATTGGCCGTAAACAAGGTTCTAACAAAAGTTTGGAGAAATTGAAAACCTGGTATAATGGGCTTATTCCGTCGTTCACTACTTACAACTCGATCCCATGAATGCAGCAATCAAGGAAAAGTGACTACAATTGACGTCCAGAAAAGAAATTGTGTTCTGTCAGAACAATGCCAGTCCACACACGTCTTTGATGACTTGGAACGAATGAACACAACTTGATTGAAAAATTTTGACACATCCACTTTATAATCGATCTTACACTGTTTGACTATCATTTGTTTCAATCTCTGTAAAACTCTTTTAATGGTCACGAAAGAAGTACTGAAAATTACTTAGCCCAATTTTTCGCCAATAAAAAATTGTCAAAAAACTGCGGTTATTTTTTGTATCACCTATTATAAATATAGGGTGTTTTCTTAGTTACATGAGAAAATGAAAATACAAAACAGAAATATTGTTTTTTTTATATATAATCTGGAAGATAATTTCATGGTATTTTAACATAATTTTTGAATATGATTTCCGGCATATATCCACCGGCTACGAGTCACCAGTTTTTTGCAATAAATGCGGCCGTATGGTGTCAATGGTGCCATAAATATTGACTTCCAATGCTGGTTTGTTGTTTGTGGGCATAAACTAACGACTCAACATAGTTCAAAAAAGGTAATAAGAAGACATTAAATCGCACGAACAAAGGCTTCTGAAAGCCTTTGAAAGTAAGGTTGTCACAAAATTGATTTCGCAATAAATCGATTGTTAAGCGCACTCTGTGGCAAGTTACACCACCTTGTTGGAACAAATTGTCTGATTTGGCGATGTTTAAATGCTTACTATTTTGAACCTACTGACAAAAATGTAGTTAGCATGGCTCGATACCGCTCGCCATTCACCATAACAGCAACTCTTTCCTCATTTCGAAAAAATAAGGATGGATTATGCCACCACAGCACACAATCAATTTTAATGGATATAATGGCGATTCGTTAATGACTTGACGACTATCTTTACTCTATATATGGCAATTTTATTTATTAACGTAGCCATTTAACCACAAATGAGCTTCATTACTAAACATAATTCGTCATCAAAGTACTCTATGAACTTTGCGAACAGATTTATTTTTCTCAAGGTGAATTTCCAGAATTTGGAAGCGTTGTTTTAGCGTTGAATGATGAATTGTTAAACCATAGGTATGGTTATCGATACATACTGCTAAAAAAAACACCGTATATTAATTTGCATGATCATGTAAATGATTCTTAACTGAATTAATGACTCACTCATAGATTTCATTAGGTTAAATAGTATGTATATATTCGAAATCTTATGCATAACAGACATTACATTTTTACATAAATAGGACTACGTGCATATACATGTATAGTAATTTCTTGTCTGGAGACGCTCTTGCGGGTTTCAATACATTGTTATACCTTGTATGTCGATTCTTCTCTGATCTGGTAACTATTAGGGTTAATTCAATATTATATTGACAAGATTATTTCTGGGCTTCTGTCGTTTTTCACATATTTAGATTCGGTATACGCCACCAATGACCTTCTATTTAATTTAATAATAATCAATAACAATTTTAAATTATTAAAAAAATTAAAATAAGTAATATGATAGTATTATAATCAGTAATTAGAGAAAGTCAAGTGAAAATGTTATAGTATATTAATTAAATACGTCAAAATATAGTTTTTACTATTATTTACCTTTGTATGGTAAATGTTTTTATACTTGTATATATTTATATGATATGCATATGTTTAAAACAAAATAAAAACAGCAGCAAACACATTTGCCTTGGGTCTATGTCGATTGTGCAATAATAGTATAACAAACTGATTTCTGACCTCGCAACTGATAACATTAATAATGAAATGAATACCTTATCTCTGTTTTAATTAGAATCTTTTCAAGTTCAAAAAAAACACACAAAAACTCATATAATATAAAATTAAATTTACAAACCATCTGTAGGACAATTTGTCCTCTAGATGTGCTACTAAGTACTTGAAATACTAGTATAGAAGTTTTTTTTTGCATATTTGTAGGAAATATCATACAGAATATATATAGTAGATGTATTTACTTTAGTTTTGTCAATGGCGTATATAAAAAACTTCATAGTTGCAGATATGAAAAAAATTTTCATTTGCTATCATTAAAAGAGATATTGTATTTTAAAATATTTAAAAGTCAGTAAAGTTCTAGAGTTATGACATGGTTAAAAAAACAATCTCCTGTTTTATAGACGAAAATAACTATTTTTTAGCGTCAAACTGCTTATTGTTCTAACCATCAAGTAATGACACCTTGCAGTCCGTGTAATCTACCTACAAGTTAAAAGTGGTGTATATATAGTATTGGAAAAAGTATGGAAAAAATCGAAGATGTTTTTATTTAATACAAAAAAGAAGAACAAGAAGAAGAACTAAAATATAAAGTAATACAATCATCTCCACAAGCCAGTTAAAACCACCCGTCAACAATATCCTATTTTTATTCGATTGCATGAGAAAGGTTCAAACCTTTCTCATGAGAACCTCTTTAGTGACAATGAGTCATGTTACTGTGAATTTTGTAGTAGCCACTATTCATAGTTCATATACAGTCAAACCGCTCTATAGCAAAGTCGTTGGTGCCTGCAAAAAGTTTCGTTATAGAGAGGTCTTCATTATGAAGAGGTTAAACAAATTTTTTTTATTTGGCTTTTTTTTCATGTCACAGGTAATTATGTACGTATATATTTTAAAAATACATTTAATTCATGTTTATTCATATAAGCATATATAACATCAAAAACATTATTCAAGTATTAATTTGTAGTTATAAAAATTATTTTTATTAATTACTATTTAATTTATTATTATATATAATTTAAATTTTTATAATTTATTACTTCATTTAACTCAAAAAATAGTGATATTTTTGTTTGTTTAGAGATTTTCAAGGAAACAAGAAAAACTTTAGAGAACTTTAAAAATTTCGAAACCTCTACACATATGTTTGGTGATCACGGTTTCATTTAAAAATTTTACTTCCAGTAAATGCATAAGATGTTCTTTCTTCCTCCAAAAATATGCCCTCTGTATTATAAACTGAATAACATATCCTTAACTTTCATTTGAATAAATTCGTTATAGAGAGACTTTTCTGTATGCACAGATTTGTTTACGGACCTGAAAAAACTTCGTTATAGAGATGAATTCCCTATAGAGAGGTTCGCAATAGAGAGCCTCAAATGTATGAACTAATTTAAAAAATCGGTGTGTCTTCAAAAAGCCTTCGTTATGGAAAGGAATTCGTTATAGACAGGTGCGCTATAGAGAGGTTTGACTGTACTTAACAATTGTTCTACTTTTGACAATATGTTTTTGAATATTTTACCTACTTGCTGATACCTTCTACATAAATACATTAAATCTTGTTATTTAATCAAAAAAAAAATATTATTAGCAATATCCGATCTAAGAGCCCTGACGACTAGTATTCGTTTTCTTATTTTAGTTAGAAGATTTTATATTTTATAATTAATTATAATAAATGAAAAATAAAAATAAAATAAATAGTAAAATAATAATAATAAAATATATAAAAAACGTAAGCTTCTATAAAATAACAAATGATACAAAGTATGTAAATTAAACCAAGTCTTAAAAATCCAATAGAGTTAGTAATGATATATACCTGATTAACAAAAACTACTATCACTGCAACTATGTTTGAATGGCATTCCAATCTTCCTATACTCATCATGAACTTCGATATTTTGACTAAAGCAAGAATTTAAGAAATTTTTGCAGTGTGATAACATGATTGCTAATCAAATTTTATATAATTTGTGAGTAATCATCACATTTAATGTTTATTAAACTTATTTTGGAAACCTTCAAAGTTCTCTTTTCAATTGTAGCACATATTAGGTCAGAATGAGATAATATTTTAAAATATTGAATAGTTTTATTTTGAATTTCTTCAGATCACACGAAATTTATTTTGGAGCGGTTTGTCAAAAAATGTGGAACAAAATATTTTTTTGGATTTTTAGCGCATACTTAGTAGTACAGGTTGTATATATCCTATACATACAACATAATATGTTAATAATCGTTTGAAATTTTTATATATAATAACATGTGGTAGAGCTCTCAAACAATATTAGTGCAACAAACTCATTCCCCACGGAGACTAGAATCCTCCTTTAATTCTGAAGAGCGAATTTGTATGGTTCGTAATGTATGCGATAATGTTATAAATGAGGAGCACAGACAGGATCAACGCAATTGCATATTTTTGTATTCCATTGAAAAACTAACCACAATTGCTAACCAAACAGTTGATGAAGGGGTTATTATGTTTCAGAAAGTGTTGCAAAATACTACTCTTATCAATTCCAAAAGCAGTGAACTGCACAGACTTCTGGGAGAAATCGATCAATACGTTAAAAGGGTAAAAAAATTTGAATTACATCCTGATTTTGAAAATCCTGGACATTTGTTTAATATGACAGTAGAACTTAGTGATATATTGGATAACTTCAACATTACTAATGTCAAATATCTAACAGTTCCGATAGAGTACATTGAAGCAGCTTTACAGAAAAATGGATTAGAACAGTTGAACATAAATTTTGAGCAAAGATTTTTGACTTTCTCAAGAACGTTTGAGAAAATTGTGGATAATTATATAGTCTCGCTTAAGCAGAACCACTGCGGGACCGATCAACCACTTCAAGAATGGTTTAATAAGTTTAAAGCCGAAAAAAATGTTAACAATAAGGTTCTACATTTTGAAAAATTTTATGATTTATATTAAAATATGGTACTTGTAATTTACTAAAAAATAAATAAAAATAAATAAAACAGTGTTAGTTTTAACATAAATTGTTAAGTGTAGATAAATTCCAAATCTTGAAGTTAGGATTGAATGCAATTCCATTCACATTATAAGTAGGAAGCGTACATGTCTAAGATGTATACCATATACGTAAAATTAAAGAATTTTTTAAGAATTAATATTAATTCAAATTAATTAATATTAATTAAAAATATATTCAATATTCGAAATGAATTCAGTTATAAATCAAATAAGTTATTTTTTATGTTAAGCAATATAAAAAATTAATTCTTTGGAAAATTAAATTAAATTATTTTTTTTCTGAATAATTATTTGTTTCTAAATAATTTCATATTAAAATTATTTTGTTATTTCCTTTTTTTTTTGGTTTTTACAAAAATATTTACTTTAAATTTGTTTAATTTCAATGTTTTCATCCATTCTAGCTGATAATTCTAATCAGTTGAAAATGTAGAATTTCGCAGTGAAACTGTATTCTTGTTTTTTTCTTTTCGTTTTTAGAAATGCAGAACAAATTTAAAAAGCCTGATATGTTATAATAAATTTACGCAAACATCCAAAAAACTAATAGAGCACCAAAATTTTTTACTTCATAAAACAACTTCTTGTTTCTTAAATATGACAGCGAATCAACAGCTTCTGTTAAATGAAAAACTTCTGCTAATTTAAGCTAAAGTATTCTGCAGTTGATTTTTATCCCGCTAACACTATACTTCTTTACTTGATTTTAACTATGCCGAAGAAGCTTCCCCAATATATTTAATAAGGAACAGATTGTCCTTTCATTGTACCCTCTTCACAACTGCGAGTTCGTAAAGCCGATCGCAGATTTTCTCAATACCTTCACTTGTTCATCCTTCTCTGTTTGGACTACACCGTTTGGATTAGATGAGCTTACAATATTAAATGCTGAGTTAATTAGCTTTTATTTATTATTAGATTAATTGATTATTAGAATGTGAATTCCCAACACATTGTCTGACCAATATTGTCCAATAGCTGAGAGCTTTGTTATTCATTTTTTAACATATAACTTTATTGATGTGAAATATGTAAGCCCTATAAATCGGTTTAGTGCTGGAGACACATTTCGTTTATAGTGATATATCATACATAGAAATTATTTTTTTTAAAAATGTTTTCTAATGTTAACTTTTTTTTCTTTGTCGAAAGTAACGCGTCTCCTGACGTAAAGAAAATATTTTAAAGTTATAAGGGTTCGAATAAAAATGAAAAGACTACAACAAAAATTATATTTAATTTATTGAAATTTAACTGACCATACAACGCTGATTCGAGTATTGCCAAGTACTCATCATCAGGGATCTTAGGATACATTCGAATCTTTTAATTAGTTCATAGTCCGTATATAATTTATTTGCACTGCAAGTACCAGGCTTAGAACTAGTGTCTGACAAATTAGAAGCGATGACTAATCTTGTTTTTCCACAAGTAGCCAAGGCTGCGTTTTTAAAAAGCAAAAACGTTTAAAAACTTGAACTCACTACTACTCTAAACAAAATCATTTCTGTGTACCCATATTAAGTTAATTACTTCTGTTATCACTATTTTAAGATTTGGTAATACTCCTATAAGCGATAATAAGAGAACAAGTAAATTCTATTTAATAGTTTGAAACCTAAAATGATTACAGTAAAAACTGCTAACTCTTTTAATTTGCCTAATACTTATTAAATATAAAAGAAATACTTGCAATACATCAGTCATTGTACTTTTAAAAAACTAAAACTGAATATATAGTTAAATGTTTTGGAACCAATATACACGACAAAATATTCATAGCTTACATGAGCAAATAAAACAACATCTATATGAAAAACAATCCATTTTCATTCCGTACGTCAAGTATCTTTAAATTACTTTAGAAGCATAATTTATTTACATAGAAGAAGAGTTGTGATGCACAAATTGTGTTAGTAATTTTTAATTTTCATAAATGACATTCTAATAACTTGATAAATATTCAATACAAAAATATATAATTAGCTGTAAACTGACATCATTAACAAAATCATTCTTTGTTAGACCCAGGCCCAAATATATGCAATTCTTGACTATGCAATCTACCTTTCAAGTTGATGAACTTCCAGTTTGTATTAATTTATGTCATTTACTTCATTTCTGCAAAAAATTACCATTTTATTATTCATAATTATGGTCAAAAGAATAAAATTGCTCAGACTTTAAGCGCTTGTTTAAATAACGATCTTACAAAAGTTGTAGAAAGTACTACTTTAATATGAATGAATCCACTTTTTAGGAAGGTTAATATCCTGCCTGACGGAACTATTCGAATGCATTACAAAATATATCATCCAGATAGAAATCAATCGCTTATGTCCATCGTAAAAAGTTTTAATCATACACCAAAAATAGAATGCTGGCTATCCGTCTGTCCGTCCATAAATATTGTAGATTACTTCGCGTTTGTTTTGATCATTCCAATTGTGGCGTTATAAATTTTGTGAGTGTGTGTTCAACTGTATTTACATGACAATAAGATCAATTAATATATACAACACATACATATATGTGGAATAATGAGCAATTTTCAGTATTTCAGAAATCATAGTAAACAGTCGAAATGTTGCGGTAGACCAGAACGACATCGTTGTGAGGTTATATGCCTGAAAGAATATTAAATGATGTTAGGTTAGTGTAACCGTAGTTAGATACTACTGAAATTAAAATAAATTTAATAATATTATTATGAAAGTAGTGACATTTGCTACACTCTTTACATAATGCATATATTAAGCGTGTATTAAGTTTGTTGAAATGATTTCAACGCTATGATTTTAATGGGGACGTCATAGACCCTATAAACTATCACTATAGTGTTTCATTTCAAAGTACTTTAACTTCAAAAGGTAAATTTACAGATATTAAAACATTCTGTATAATCTATGGAAAAGATTGTTATGCATCAAAGAATGTAGTCAAGATATACACATAATTTATCTACATAATATATCCTTATATAAAGGGTGCTATAGTAGAAGTAATGCTATTCGATAGTGAACACTGTATTAAAGTTCATATTCATAGTTTGCAGTGAACTTATTAGGCTGTTTAACTTTGCAAGCGATTTTTTCAGCGAAAAATATAAAAAACGTTTACAAAAGTTTTACGGAATTTAGAAAATGTGAAAAATCTAAACTCTTCAATAGAGTTAAGTTATAAAATTATTACTTTTATTGAATAAGTTGAATAAGTTGTATATGAGTCATTTAATATTTAACTTCAGTTTAGCTTAGGCTTTCGAGGATTAAGTTCAAAATATTAAATCATCTCAGGGCAAGTATTATTTTTCATGGACCAGAAGATATCATGTTAAGAAATTTGCTACATAAAATTGGAATTACAGAGCACAGTAAATGGTATAAACAAAAGTCGATATTATGAAAAATTTTGGGGAATTTTTAAGGAACTGAATGACAAATTTAAAGAATACTTCAGAAAAGCCGACTTTTACATAAAACTAACTTCAAAAATTTATTGACGAATGTCACACATCTTATGACGAAAACAAACTAGAAGGGTTTAAATAACACTGAAGAAACAACAACAAAAATTTGATTAATCTATCGAAATTTGCCTGATTATACAACATTTTAATTCAAAAATTTGTTTTTTTAAAAGATTTTTGAGCTCTTAAATTAATTTCAAATAGTTACTTGTTAGTTCGCAGTAAATTGTTACATGCAGTAATATTGTTAAAATATTTACAATAAAATAAATGGTAGTTTAATACACTACATAATTAAAAGAGTTTCATTAAAAAGGTTAATAGAAGGCATAGAAATGATAATAGTAGAGCACGGAACTCAAATGATTATAAAATTCAAAAACTCATAAAAACTTTCATTTGAAATTATTTTATAATTATATATTTATTATAAAAAATATAAATTTTATGTAAAGGTGAAAGAAAGGAGATTAAAAAGCTACTCTGAAAAACTTTTATCTACTTAGAACGTAAAATACCAAAGCCCTATTGGTTAAAACGATGAGAACGTGAAAGATTTATCACATTTTAAGAAATATTTAAAACAGGAAAGAGCTCAGATGTGTAATGTTCACACCCTATATGGTAAAAGTTACTCCTCTAAATCCCCAAAAAAGTCGACGACCGCAAAAAATATTTTTTAATCAAACCCTTGCCTATTTATCTCTTCTTTTGTTTTCAGCCTTATCACACCAGTCCTTTCCTGGTTTAAATGAATTGCATTAGCTGATATATTATATTTTTGTTTCTCTATACATAGTCGTAGATGTATTGTACACTGATTCATAATCATAATCGTACACTACAAAGTACACTGTATTTTATTTTTACTTGTAAACTATAGTTAGTTGTGTGATATTTCAAGAAATACACCAGCTCTGGAAAATGTATCAGTCTGGGACGCATCAGAAATATATAGGAATGTGAGGTAAGGACTATATTTCTTTTTCATTCTGTGTTTTAGAAAAAGACTTTAAAATTGTGTCCTAAAAGATTTTCTGCGTCAATATATTAAACACCGAACTGAATCATACTTTTTATTTTATTTTATGAATAGTGTTTAAATTTACATTGTACGAAGAAGCCTCATTAATAGGACTCAAGTACTTTATTAAGGGTTGCTTTGGTAGTGGTAGAAAATCTTCTGTAAACCTGAAGTGGCTTGTTACAAGTTAACTTACAGAGTAAAGTATGAGTACGTGTGGTTTTATGAATTATTGTATACCATGTGTTAGGTTTATAAGACTATGGAACTAATCTGAAAATCATGCCAATTAAAAGCAAAATAGGATGATTGTTTTTAAAATAGAGAAAGTAAACTTCACTATACAACTGGTGACTTGGTTAGAACGTACTTGTTTAAAAATGAACAAGTTTTTGTCTACATCAGATCAAGGTAAAAACTAAAAGAGGTTCAGATAAAAATCAACTACTTTCAAATAAAAAAAGCTTCAGATGGACTATCAGAATTAATAAATTATCTCTTGCTTACTTCATATGTATGAACTCCTCTTCATTTGTGAAAAACTACTACAAACTAATCAAAAATCTAAACTAATATATTTTTAGATGTGATTGAAGTTTTAAGAGAGAGCTTTTATCTATCGAACATTAAATGCCTTACACCTTTGAGTACCAACTGAGAACTTTAAACTGTGTGTTCAGACAACACACAACTGATCTTCATTAATAAGTAACTTAATTAAGATATTGGTATGTATTATATTTGGAATGTTGGTACTAAAATTTACCGACAACTATTGAGGTTAATTATATAGTAAATTTTTATAGCAGTATAGAAGTTTTTTGTTTTTGTAATACACAGCAAGTGAATTTCTTATTGAAATAGAAACTGTATTTTCATAAAACTGCTAGTTTAAATAATATAAACCAATTACGGCATTTAGTTAAATATCTAAAGAGTGTATTTGCTCTTCATTTATTGCAGGGCTTGTGTTGAACCTTTGGAACTTGCAGTCCAAACATTATATGCAAGCAAATAAATTTAAATAATATTTCCAGAGACCAACATATTTCTTAACAATTCTTTAAAAATCAGTTTGATAATGTTTTGTGGTTTCTTCCTATCTTAAGAATAGAGATAAGAAGACACTTCCGACACTTCTTGTATTCGCAAGAACTTTTTTACTTTTTGTTAGTATCACTAGATCTCTGTGTCGTTTGTGACTAGGCATAGTAACCTTACCGAATTGAATTTATTACTATTAATCTTTTTAAAAATATGATTTACATCATCCGTAATATGAATATGAATAATGATATGTACATGATGATATAAAATCTGTAGGACTTCTATGAAATTTTGTAACTAAGAATTTTATTTATTTTTTTTAATAAATATATAACAATATTTTTTTAATTAGTTTTATTTTATTTATGTGAAACTTTAAATGATTTTGTAAACAAATTCTTCGTAGAATTGTACAGCTTTTCAATAGTTTAATTAAGACAAAGAAGTTTAGGCAAATTATACATTTAACAACAAATAATAATTTGTTTCTAAATACATGCAGCGTACATTTCATTATTTAAATGGAAAATATTTTTAATTCGATTAGGCTAAACTGAGTCAACCGCATGAAAGCGTTATAAAATATTTTTAATTGCCTTATTTAGAATTTTAGTGTTTTTAATTAGATCACTTAAAACTCTTCTAGGTTTTAAGAAACAAATTTTTCTTTGAAATGACTGATGCAGCGTCTAATGTGCATATGAACTTGACCTTACCTTGTCGATAACAACGTTCACTTATATGCCAGTATGCACTATATTGTATGTACATGCCATAATATATACTATATAAAATGTAGACAGATGCCCACACAACACTACCGTTCAGTGGAAGAGCAAAATATGAAATTAGTTCTCTTATATATAAGATGCAAAAACTTTTCAGCAGTTATTCAGTTGTAGCTCTTAAAGACGTAGACAGTCCAAATTATATTAAAAAATGCAAACACGGCTTATAGTGTTGGGTTTAGCAATTGCTCTATTGCATGTAAGTGAAAATACATATTAGCATTAATATTATTTAAAGTAATAATCCTTTTAGAGTTGCCACGCTTCTCCAGAAACAAATGATATCTCATCAGAAGAGTCCTACAAACATATTATGAATAAAACAGAAAAATTAATCGAAATCAGCGGAACCACTTTTGGTCGCTGGATTGAAATGACGTTAACAAGTCCAAAAGAAATGTTTGAAAAGGTATTTGAGGATGTGCACGGATTAGACTTAGAGAAAGAACCATTGCATACATATATAAAAGAAATGCACGATTACGTGGAGCTCATGCATAAGATGGCGGAATATCGTGAATTCAAAAATACTACAAAAGAGGAAAATATTGCCCTACTTCACGAAATTTATAAACAACTTAACATTGTTCTTGAAAGGCCGAATACTGCTGCTATGGAAAAGCCTAAAATTGAGGACTTTATTATTGAAATATCTTTAACTAAAAATGGATGGGATGAATTCAAAAAAGAGGAAGAGATTATGTGGAAAGACTTGAATAAACAAATTGAAGCAATTGTGGCAGATGTTAGTGAAGAGGATAAAGCTGCGGAAGAAACGCTACTCAACTGGCATGCAGAATACGAAAAGGTGAAAGATCTTCCAACACAGCTTTTTCTTCTTATAAAATTGTTTAGAGGCTATGAAAACGCACTGTAATTGAAATCGAATAAATTAATACAACTTATTTGAAATATGAATACATTAAATTATTAGTATTTTGAAATAATTAATTAATATAGAATTAAAAACTATATTTTCATTATATATCTTAGCACATTTTATTTAAAATAAAAAAAAATCTTTTTTATTTGAAGTAATTCTCATATATTAATATTTTATTTGCATTTTGCTGGAAAGTGTTTAAAGTTAAAATATTTTTCGAAATTTTTGAATACTTAGTATTATATAGAATAGCACATATTCTTAATTCATTATGCTTCTTTTCCTGTTTTTATATTTACCTATAGCGGCTATGATGTTGGGATGTAAGTTTCTTAAAACTTATAGATCATGAAGACTGGCAGGTAACCACCAGGTTCATGTGGCATTCTTTATATAATAAACTAGCTGACCCGGCGAACGTTGTTTCCCTTGTAATTAATTTCCCTGCTCCGCTGAGTATTCATATTCGTTGCTATTTCCATATCTGTGTAGATAAAGAGATTGTCAGTTTCATCCCTGAAAGAAGCAATCCATGAATTTAATCGCTTAGTTCTAAGGATAAAGCCTAAACAATGTTAATAGCGTTTGTTTTATTTATTTTAAAATTATAACTAATATCGAATGTTTTAATAGCCTATGTTACGCCTAAAAAGTATATAAATATGATGTAAGAGTATCACGAAGATTAGTTACGTCATTAAAAAGTTATTAAGTAACGAACAGACAAACAAGCGATTTTATATATATAGATTAGAGTCGGTACGACAAACTTTAAGTCGGGGCATGTATCATATACTCAAACAATCATTGCACACCAGTTTCACAACGAATTTTAGTAAAGACATCTTTTTTAAACAATCTGTTCCTCTCTTTTAAGTATCAATATAGTTAAGTTTTCCAGAAAACTAATCTGAAAGTTGAAAATTTTTTCGCAAAAACTACATTAAGCCAAATGGCAGGGTCCTTAATATAATAAAATACTTACTTCCGCTTACTAAATAAAACGATAGATGGCATATGTAATTTTTTGCTATTGTACTTAAGTTTGCAACTTTAAACCTCTTTATCTCTAAAACTGCTCAATTTAAATTGGTTAGCAGTTAAATATTGTGATATTAATTAATAAGACTAACAAATATGGGATTACTGCACACGCCAAGAATAAAAAGATAAAAGATATAATTAAGAACATTAAGAAACTTTTTCTTATTTCTCTCTAGTACAGAAGTTCGAATTGCAATGCTTCATAATTCTGTAACTATCATCATCTGTATCATCTAATTATCAGCAAAAAATAAATATGGTTCCAATCTCATCGAAACTGCTCAAAAAATTATTACCCCATATAATTTTCCACAATTATATTTGTATTATAAATCAGGTAACATTGGCAAACGGATGTGAAAGTCTATACATTTTTCATTATTTGTCTTGTAATGTAGTGTAGTGCCATGTTTAGTCAGTTTATTGGTTCTATAAGTTTAGGTAATAGAAAAGTCATAAACAATAAATTAACATTACCTAGCATAACAAGCTCATTAAAAGACAAACGATACCATGAGGCAATCCTAATATTATCTCTATGCATGGGTATAGCTCACCGGAATATTGAATGTAGTGTACACTATCAACATATTATTACACTTAATGTTTTTGCTACTTAATCTATTGAAGCAACTTATTTTATTATAAAACTTGTAATTTTTTTTCTTATATTTGTGTTTTATATTTCAATAATATAACTTTATTTATTGCATAACACCGGAGGTAAATGAGGTTTTGGTCTCGAAAACTCAACAATTATTCTAATCGTTTATGTTTGTAATAATACCAAAATAGATAAAATATATGTTCATATCTGTGCTACAAATATTACTTGAAAGAATCATTTCGGGATACTAGAAGTTCTAACCTTAATTATTTAATACAATTATAAAATATAGCAGCAAATAAAACTATGTATGAATATAAAGAAACAAGCTCATTTAGTTTACCATACATTGAAATATTTATACAAAAAAACCTATAATAAAAGTGGATTTATATATATTGTTATATTATATACAACTGATATTACATATATTGCAACGAATTTCTACAAATTGAATCTGATAATTTTAGTACTGAAAATCATATCACTAAATTTTTAATATAAATCTGCAGTTCTTACTTGAAAGGCAAAATTATCATTAAAACCAATTTATCAGGAATTAAAAACGGAACTATTTAAGTATTTTTCCAAATCATCTGCTGGATGTTCCAATACTTTTGCGAATATGCTACTTCATACTACCTCCGAATAAAAAATTTTGAATGAGGAAAACAAACAAATTTTTCTTGCTAAATTCATCCAATTTTAAGAAAACAGAGAATTAGTGAATAAACTAAAGAACATAAACAGCTCGATATGAGCTGTACTTACTCAAAAGCTCAAGACTTTCTTCAACTAGTCGAACAAAAGTAAATAACAATCAGTTCAAATGTAAATATTTACTTTAATTACTTTATTCATCTCTGTGTACTGTAAGGAAATGCACAGATGCTGTAAACATATTGTTTGTCTGACCTTGCGCCAAATGATGACTTCTAATTGACATTATATTTCGTGAAACATTTCTAAAAGTCCACGTGGGAGATATTGTAAAATATGTATGGAGCTCTATAGTCCGCATCAGATACAAAGCAGCACGCATTTCTAATCAGATTTGGATGAAAATCATATATACTTCAATTATAGCACTGATATACTATATCAATTAATACAATTGAGACTTATATAAAGTCTTATGTTGTAAATATGAATCATTTTAGATAATAACTCTCTCGGTTAGCATGCCTGATCACATATTTTGCTTTTCTCATAAAGCAAGTCCTTAAACAATTTTTCTTTAATAATATTTTTAAAACTCTGGACTTATATCGCGTATACTGATATAATCTTCAGATTATATTATCTGTCCATACCTATATACATTATAAATAAAGCTAAAAAATGATAACCAAATACTCTTAGTTCTAAATTATTTTGGAGTACTGAAATAACTACCAGTTCGAACATACAAGTCCTATGTGTACTTTTATCTGTTTACACTATACATTCAGGGAACGTGATTTAATAACTTTCAAGAAATCAAATTGAAGTGCTCTAATTTATTTGACGTATAACAAAAGAAAAGATAAACAAAAATCAATTTATTTTTATTTGAGATTTGCTTTTGAGTAGATTTTGTATAGAAAACGCGACTAAGTGGTAGACACTTATCGTGATATACGCAAATTGCGCTGAAAGCAATTATGTAAGTTTAATATTAGGAAACTAGCCCCTCTTTATTATCATTAAGCTATTATACTTAGATACTTATAGAAATATCACTATTACTTAAAGAGGGTACTCATGATTGACATTTCGATTTATTACAATAAACAAAACAAATAAATTTATTTTTGTTTTGTTTAAGTTGATTCGATGGAAAAGTTATTTTGATTTGTTTATTTACCTCAATAAATATGAACTTTCAAAATATCAATATAACTCTAAATTTAAATTATAATAAATTTAGAATTATTACTTTTACCACTAATTACCATTAATGTCATTACAGGTTATTATAATAAACGAGTCCGTTTACATGTATATTAAATCAAAGCAAATAAAGAACCTGAGTAAATTTAATATATTGTGTCAATAAAAGAATAGAACAATTATCTCAAGAACCATATATACCAGGGTATTTTTTATAGCGCACTGAAATCGCTTTGCTCTGTGAAGATAGCTATGACACAAGTTAGTCATTATAAATAGCAAATAACGTCTGCTTAAAATACTTAGTTACGTTTAAGTAATCAAACTGAATGCAAAACCCAGATCTTTGATTTGGTCCGAATTGAATAACTTAATACTATATTCATTGAAGCAATAACACCTTTAAATATGAATACGAAACTTATCATTTTGTTACTTGGAACAGTTGCATTTGCTCATGTAAGTCTCCAAAAAATAAACTGCAATAAAATTATTAATATTCCTAATATTTTAGATATGTGCTGCACGACCGGAGGCAAAGTCATCAGAGGAAATTAATGAAATAAAGAAAGATAACGAGTTACAGGATAAAGTTGCTAAGTTTATGGAAAAGATTCTAAAAGAAAAGGATTTATTCAACGATCATTTTAAAGTATTTATAGCAGTTACATCTGAGTACGCTGTGCACGCTCGTGAATCCGTACAGCAAGGACTTAAGGTCTGCAGACTTATGATGAATGAACCTTTTATAGAGAAGTTGGATACTGAAGATATACATGCAAGAGCTGAGGACTTTGCTTTTTATGTTACAAAGGCTGAGGCATCTGAAAAAAATGAAGGAGACGACCCTGCTTCGGATTTGTTTGAGCTTTCTGAAAGAATAAGTAGATTTATAGACATCTATAACATAACATTAATGGAAAAACCAACAATGGAAGATGTTCTATTCGGTTTAGCTTTGGAAAAAAATGGGATTGAAGAAGCAAACAAGGAAATTGAAAAAAGTTTTTCAAAATTTTTAGTTAAAATGATCGATATTGTGGATAAGTACATCGCTAACTTGTCAGCAGAAAATAAAGAAGCTGAAACCAAATTAATTGAGTTCATGCCGAAATACAAAGCTCTTGACATTAAGGATCAAAAAAAGAAGATTAGAGATTTCTTTACATTATTTAAGCTAAAACGTGCACAAGATGAAGATGAAGGAAAGAAAACAACAGTTTAATGTTAATATTTTAATGTTTAAATTAAAATAAATTAAAAATTAATTGAAATTTAAAATAATTTAATTGAAATTAAATTCGTTATGGAAAGTATTGGATGTAAAATAATGTGTGTGAATATATTTTTTATTTTTATTTTAAATAATTTTGTTATTTAATTTTTCTATACTACTTTTAAGTATATTCTTCCAATGTATAAAATATATGTTGAAATTACATAACAGTTACTTAAATATTTCATTGAACCAAGGATATATGTAGGTTGGTATACGTGACTGTTGTTTTTGGTTTTTTAGAAATCAACATCAAACTTCAGCAAAATTCTTTACGCTTTAAGACTATTTTTGACTAGTCTAATTTTAAGGGAACTAAAATAAAATATCTAAAAAAAATTGTTTTTTTATTAGCGGCGTTAGGGATAAATACTGCCAGCTGTAAGATGAACTCAAAGTAATTTTTTGCCTGATGATAAAACTCTTACTTCTGTGTACCTCATAAATTTTATACAAAATCCTAATACATAATACATAATATCAAATTAATATACATGAAATGTGTTCCAATGTGAGGATAGCACTGTTAATATTAATCAAACAACATTCATAAGTGAAAAAATCAATGGATTTTCATTGGTGAACTAATAAAAGCCTCAATCGCAATCGACCATATCTCAATTTAGATTAAAAATTATGAAATTAAGACAATCTAAAACGAAAATATCGAAAGTATATACTTTGCTGTATTATTTGGAGTCCCAAGGTCACATGGTAGTCTCCCATCAGCAACTACGAAAATCAGAGTAATCATATCTGCATTTTAAAACAATGAAGAAAAGTTCTTTGTGAAATTTAATTCTTTGAAATTTAATATACCTCAACATAAGTAACATCGCATCCAGCAATATATAATACCACAAAGCTTAGTGCTGAAACGGTAAAGAATGAAATGATTGCACATATCAACAACGTAAGTTTGCTGAAAAGTGCTTCTATTGATGACATGTGGCTTCATATTAAAACAAGTCTCGAAGGAATATGCAAGGATACCCTTGGCTATCATAAAAATGAGCAAAAGGAATGGATGTCGGCAGGATCTTGAGAGCACATTGTACAAAGAAGTTCCGTTAAAACGAAAAAGTTAAGCGAGGTGGACCCGCTATAAAAAGCTGAATATAACATAACGTACAATAATCTTATCAGGCAAATCAAGAAAGAAATCAATGGTGAAAAAAAAAACTACTATGATACACTAAGCATGAAAGCGCAAGTAGCATCAGAGAAGGGCGACATGAAGGAACTGTTTAAGTTAACTAAACAACTACGTGGCAAACTTCTCCAAAGCAGCACCGCAATTGAAAACGAAATTGGACACCTGGTGACTGCTAAGAACAAGCAGGTGAAAGTATGAAAAATACATTTTGAAAAAACGAAGACATCTGACAAATAGGTAGAAGAGCACCTAGCGAAAACGAAATAAGAGATTATTAGCATGAAAAGTGAGTGTTTTAAGCTGGACCCCAACGTAGTGTCGAAACTTTTACACCACTTGTTTAAAAAAATCTAGGAGCAAGGATCATTTCATCTTGAATGGAAGGAGTCTATCATTGTTAAATTGCCGAAAAAAGGTGAAAGAAAGAAGTATAGCAACTGGAGTGAAATTTCTTTAATATCAGCAGTATTCCAAATTTTTTACAAAATAATTAATGCAAGAATCGCCGAAACATTATAATAAACGCGCTTATTCGAAAAACTTAAACTTAAGCAGATTTACACTAAAGGCACTCGTGCATCGGCCAAATCAACACAATCAGAATACTTTTTGAACAAGCCTAAGAACTGAATGCTGCTTTATATCTAATATTTATTGATTTTGCAAAGGCGTTCGACGCGCTCAAGAGAAATTACTTATGGCTAGCATTAAACGCTAAAGGTGTTATTATATCTTTTGGTATTATTATAGGACTGTTTATTACAGTCCTAAACCTTGTTCTCGAAGCAATGGAAGAAAGCCCAAACGGCATCGGCTGGCAGCTGAATCAAAAGCTTGATCATCTCAAATATGCAGACGATATAGTATTGTTAGCATACACACTGAAATGCAAACTCTTGTGTATAATGTATGCGAACAGTCAGTTGAAGTCGGCCTAAAAATCAACGCCTCAAAGACAACAACAATGAGAGTGAAAGCCAACAATTAATCACCCATCCTTTTGAACGACTATACATTGAAGATGTGCATGAATTCGAATACTTGGGAAGCATAGTCAAAAAAAAAAATTTAGGTATTAACTTCTGTGAATAGACCAAATTCTAAATTTATAATTTATAAATGAAGAACATGTCATAATAAATTAATCAGAGATTGTGCTGATGAATAGATTTTTTAGAAACGAAATACAAATTATTTAATTTGAACAAATTATTTAATAAGTTTTTAATCTTAATAAATTTTTCGACCAAATACGATTAAGACGGTATACTTAACTGAAGAACTATAAAGAGTACGAAAAATGCTAAAATTTTCATATTTTCATATATACATATATTACATATATTTTATTTAATTAGTTATATTGCTTATCATTTATTTTAATAATTATAATTATATTTATATTTTAACATTTTGAATTATATTTATATTTTTAAAGAATAATTTATCTCTTTTCTACTCTTTGTTTTCACTTCCTTTTAAGTTTTTAATTATTTGAAGTTATTTATATCTATTTATTTTTTATAAGTTTTTTCAGTCGTGCTGGCTTTTCAAATGTGATAACTCTAACTTATCTAACAACTTATTGCTTATATCACAAAACTCCTAATTTACCTAATTCCGGTATCTCTCCAGTAACAGCAGTAACATTAGTCGAGTCCTAACCAAAGACCAGGAAGCGTGTTATGACACTAAATCTTGAGCCTCACTTCATTTCATTCTAGAAACTGGAAAAACTGATCTCTTAAAGAACTTGCAATTATCCCATAATAAAGATGACTTCAAATTGAATCGACCAAAATTTGTTTTCTATTGCAGGTTCATTACTTCTTCTAATGCAAATGCTTTACTCTGACAAACTCAATTGTTACAAGGCATTGACTGCGTGTGCTTTTATGCCATGCAGCATAACCTGGATTTCTTAACCTTAGAACAAACTATTGTGTGTCTCATTTCTATAGTTCTTGAGTGGCATGACCATATGCGATCTCATATGCTATCGCTCCATTGCATTTTAATCCACAAGACAAGCTGTACATAGTTTACATACTAAAGTTATTTTATTTTAAAAAGGACTATACAAAAACTCTATATATGGGTCATTCTTTTACAAACCGGACGAATTTTGGCAAAAAATTACCTCATGATCTACGATTTGGCTGAAATTTTTTTATGAGCTCCTTTCATAAAATAAGAAGACTCGTATCTCGGGAAAAAATTTTGTGATTTTTTTCCTAGGAGATATGGACCCATGGGGTTTTGAGAATTGGCATAGTAAACACATTTTCAAATGGCTATATCTCAAGTTCTATAAAAGGTAGAAACTTGAAATTTACAGCGTTTCAAAGATAATTGATTGAACTTTTATGAAATTGTTTAAACAATTAAAATTGTTAATATTTAAGTACTAATATTAACCGTTAGATTTCAAAAAAAAAATTTTCTTAAAATACATCCCCACGGAAATAAAAATTTTCGAGATATCAACTTTTTTGAAATTTTTTAATATTTTTTTCTCCTGCAAAACACATCAAGCACATGTGGACTACATTTTCATTGAATGAATTTTCAAAGAATATATTACATATATTCTTATATAATATTTTTGATTTCGATTAGTAATAAAATTCTACAGAAAACCCAAAAATTTCAGGACGATATTGTAATTAGAAGTACTTTTAAAAATTTATTTATCCTTTATATCACACCAAACACATACACACGATTTTTCAGTAAAACAAAAAAAAAGAATATGTCACACAAATTTTTTTTTTTTACTTTTGATTCAAAATTTTTTCTTCAAAAATAAATATTTCCACTGTGATGTTCCTTTTAGAAGTAATTAAAAAAAATTAATTAATCAGATGTCCTTCACGTTACTCATACGCACCGTAGTACCACGCAATCAATTTTCGAAGGAAAACGATACAAAAACTTTTACTTTTTATTCCTGAATTGAGTTTATCATTAAATTCTACATAAAAATGAAACTTTTTAGGGCATTAGTATTCTCAGAAATATTTTTATTAAATAAATAAATCACAAATTCAAAATTTTTAATATTCCTGCAGATAACTCTAAGAATAGCGATGAAGAAGATGACTCGCATCAATTTTAAGAAATCTGCAGGAAAAGTTTAATGGCACAGCAGATAGAACTATGAAAATAAAAATAGTGGGTGTGATATATAATTGGTCTATCCGAAAGGGTCACGACTTACTTCTCAAACGCTACAAAATGTATGACTACTGTTGCTAAAAAACTTACTTCAGAGAAATGAATCTCAGAAGACCTAAATCCAAAAAGCCACCGCTAGGAAAATATGTAACCAATAGAATTTTACATTTTTACGAATGTGACGAAAACAGTCAAGTAATGCCTGAGAAAAAAAATCTGCGTATTCTTACAAATTGACGGATAAAAAACACAAATGCGAAAACGGTCCATTCTAAACAATTTAAAAGAGTTGCATACTCCTTTTAAACTCAACCATCCAGACCTGTATTGTAGTTTTTCAAAATTTGCATCATTACGACCACAACATTGCGTTCTTGCAGGAGCAAGCGGCACACATTCAGTTTGTGTATGCTCCATTCACGAAAACGTACGATTAATGGTAGATGGAATAAATATAAAGGCACTGACTGTATGCAGTAGAAAGCCGATAAATAACTATAAAGATTGCCTACAGCACATGATTTGCAATTCTTCATGCGGAGAATGTTTTCTAGGAACCTGCGCCAAATTTCTTGGAACTGAAAATATCAATGAACAACTTCTGGAGATATATGATGACAACATGATTGACACCGTTAAATACAAACAATGGGATCGTGAAGAGAGAAGCACATTAAAAACGTTGATATCCCAAATAGACGAATATTTACAATCCTTAATAGATGGTTTAGACAAATTGCTGTTGCATCCCTTTATCGTTAAAAAACATGCAGAGTTTTTAAATGATAAGGAAAACAACTTAGCAAAAACTGAATGCATAGTTTTGCGTGATTTTTCCGAAAATTATGCTTTTGTTGTTCAAAACTCTGTTCAAGGTATTCACTGGAATAATAATCAGGCAACAATTCATCCTTTTGCAATATACCACAAAAAGGATGAATGAAAGGATGTATAAAAACTACAAATAAAAAATTCTGTGCATCTGACTGTTTACATCACAACACAACTGCTGTACATTTGTTCCAAAAATACGCGATCAAATTCATTAAAAAAATTAGTACGGATATCAAAAAAATTATTTATTTTTCTGATGGATCGAGTTCACAATATAAAAATAACAAAAATTTTATTAATTTAACTCATCACAAAGCGGACTTTGGTTTGGAAGCAGAATGGCATTTTTTTCCAACGTCACACGGCAAAGGACCATGCGACGGCTTAGCTGGTACCTTAAAGAGGAATGCTGCAAGAGCTAGTCTTCAACGAATAAATAATCCCATCCAAACAAAAAAGGAATTATTTAACTGGGCTAAGGAATGTTTACCAAATATTGTGTGCCATTTCTCAACGCTACATCAGTTAAAGGCACATTAAAATATCACTGCCTTATTCCAAATTCCAAAAAAGTATTAATGACAAACATATTTTCTTCTTCAGACATTACAGATTATGTATCAATAATGAAATGAGAATTAATAAAATCAATGTAAAAACCATGAATAAAAATATTTTGTTTTTAGCTCCTTACAGTTTCTTTCCTATAACATTTCTTTCCTGTGCAGAGTATTTTTCCAACTGTAGCAAAATAACACTTCACCGAAAAAGGTAGGTGTGATTATGTGCTGCAGTTTTCTAGGTAGATCGGCTAGTATGAAACTAATTAACTTTTTAATTCATCTATATAAGAAAAAAGTTTATTAAACGGTTTAATTATGTTAAAATTCATAATTTAAAAACAGAAATGATGCGGAACTAATTTAAAATGTTATGTTTTATGTATACATTTATTTTAGAAATAAAAAGTAAAAGTTTTTGTATCGCTTTCCTTCGAAAATTGATTTCATGGTACTACGGTGCGTATGAGTAACGTGAAGGACATCTGATTAATTAATTTTTTTTAATTACTTCTAAAAGGAATTATTTATTTTTGAAGTAGAATTTATATATTAATTTGAATCAAAAATAAAAAAAAAATTTGTGTGACATATTCCTTTTTTTTTTTATACTGAAAAATCGAGTGTATGTGTTTGGTGTGATATGAAGGATAAATAAATTTTTAAAAGTACTTGTAATTACAATATCGTCCTGAAATTTTTGGGTTTTATGTAGAATTTTATTACTAATCGAAATCAAAAATATTATATAAGAATATATGTAATATATTCTTTGAAAATTCATTCAATGGAAATGTTGTACGCATGTGCTTGATGTATTTTGCGGGAGAAAAAAAAATATTAAAATATTTCAAAAAATAATGGGTTCCTGAAGATTTTTATTTCGTAGTAAAATTTAAAACTGAATCTAAATAAAATATAAAAATTGAAAATTTAAAAACAACTTTTGAGAAAAATTTTTTTTTGAAATTTAAGGGTTAATATTAGTACTTAAATATTAACAATTTTAATAGTTTAAACAATTTTATAAAAGCTAAATCAATTATCTTTAAAACGCTGTAAATTTCAAGTTTCTACCTTTTATAGAACTTGAGATATAGCCATTTGAAAATGTGTTTACTATGCCAATTCTCGAAACCCCATGGGTCCATATCTCCTAGGAAAAAACTCACAAAATTTTTTCCCGAGATACGGGTCTTCTTATTTTATGAAATGAGCTCATAAAAAAAATTTCAGCCAAATCGGAGATCATGAGGTCAAAAAGGTGTCCGAGTTGTAAAAGAATGACCCATATACTCTATATCACTACTAAAAACAGGTTTGTGCATACCTTTATAACAAACATACTACTACGGCAGACAGAAAAAGTTTCTAACACCTTCTAAGTATTATACTTACATTTCATCCCATAAGAAATATCCAGTTCAAGTGTTTTACCTAGTGACACCTTTTCATCAGTGCCGGTATTCCTTAAGTCTCTGTCATAGAACTACAATAAATCAGCTCATAAGCAGTAATTTTATCTTCATAAATTGAAGTCAAATTAGTTTTGCGATGACTGCGTTACCTATATAAGATTGTACTTGCAATGAGTTACAGCCTAAAAACACTCCGTTAGTATTATTTTACAATTGTCTTTGATATCTACTATTTCCATTACTGGACTGCAGCGCAACCACGATCAAAGTTTACATATATCGATAATCGATCCTGGGGTTAAGAATACTCCGTTTCAGCTTTTAGACGATCTCAAATATTTTTAAGATATATATTTTACAATGCCTTGTTCTGGTATATGAAAAGAAGACTCCTACTCTACTTATGTCCACCGTTCCTCAAACTAGCACGCTTCCACCTAGCTTAGTGTATCTCATAACCCATAGCTTTCCCTTTCAATACCTTTCGGAATATTTCGACAAATTGCATATAGTTGATTCGATCACATATCTCTTAATAACAACCCGGTCATAAACTCTTTAATCACCTACCAATTGCTCTCCATTTCTTATTTACACTTATCCTAAACTATTGCCTATGCCTACTGACTTATGTAAACTTCAATCTCTATGTGCTCTCTTGATTATCATAACTACTTATATTGCCAATGTTCTGATGCTCTAGACCCATGGTTGGACTTTCATTCTTTTCCTCCTCACCTTATTGCTTCAAGGTGAGTAAAAGCCTCTTACTACGACTTTTAATGACTATCAACTATCCTTAAAAAAACCACTTCTTCTGGTACAACATCAACATTAGAATGGCATTAGAATGGCAACATTAGGTACTACGTCATAACAAAATAGTGAAAACTAAATATTATAAAATATTTAATATGTCTGCAATTCTTACTTGAAAAAATGTCATTAAAATATATTTTCTAGGAACTATAAAAGGAACCACATAGATATATTTTTCAGATTTTCAACCAAATTTGTTATTCCAAGACTTCGGCTATATTCCATAGTTTAAACAATTCCTGATAAATTATGTATGAAGAAAGAAAAACAAACAAGTTTTTCTTGTTAAATTCATCTAATTTTAAGAAAACAAATCATTAGTGAACACACTGAAGAGCACTAACAAATACTTGCTAATGAAGTGTGATCTAGTGCATACTATACATTTCAGAGAATTCGAAATGAGCTGTCCTTACTCAAAAGCTCAAGACTTTCTTCGACTAGTCGAGCAAAAGTAAATAACAATCAGTTCAAATGTAAATATTTACTTTAATTACTTTACTCATCTCTGTGTACTGTAAGGAAATGCACAGATGCTGTAAACATATTGTTTGTCTGACCTTGCGCCAAATGATGACTTCTAATTGACATTATATTTCGTGAAACATTTCTGAAAATCCACGTGGGAGATATTGTAAAATATGTATGGAGCTCTATAGTCCGCATCAGATACAAAGCAACAAGCATTTCTAATCAGATTTGGATGAAAATCATATATACTTCAATTATAGCACTGATATACTATATCAATTAATACAATTGAGACTTATATAAAGTCTTATGTTGTAAATATGACTCATTTTAGATAATAACTCTCTCGGTTAGCATGGATGATCACATATGTTGCTTATCTCATAAAGCAAGTCCTTAAACAATTTTTCTTTAATAATATTTTTAAAGCTCTGGACTTATATCGCGTATACTGATATAATCTTCAGATTATATTATCTGTCCATACCTATATGCATTATAAATAAAGCTAAAAAATGATAACTAAATACTCTTAGTTCTAAATTATTTTGGAATACTGAAATAACTATCAGTTCGAACTTACAAGTCCTATGTGTACATTTATCTGTTTACACTATACATTCAGGGAACGTGATTTAATAACTTTCAAGAAATCAAATTAAAGTGCTCTAATTTATTTGACGTATAACAAAAGAAAAGAAAAACAAAAATCAATTTATTTTTATTTGAGATTTGCTTTTGAGTAGATTTTGTATAGAAAACGCGGCTAAGTGCTAGACACTTATCGTGATATACGCAAATTGCGTTAAAACCAATTATGTAAGTTTAATATTAGGACTCTACCTTCTCTTTATTATCATTAAGCTATTATACTTAGATACTTATAGAAATATCACTATTACTTAAAGTGGGTACTCATGATTGACATTTCGATTTATTACAATAAACAAAACAAATAAATTTATTTTTGTTTATTTACCTCAATGAATATGAACTTTCAAAATATAAATATAACTCTAAATTCAAATTATAATAAATTTAGAATTATTACTTTTACTACTTATTACCATTAATGTCATTACAGATTATTATAATAAACGATTCCGTTTACATGTATATTAAATCAAAGGAAATAAAGAACCTGAGTAAATTTAATATGTTGTGTCAATTATCTCAAGATAAGAACAATTATCTCAAGAACCATATATACCAGGGTATTTTTTATAGCGCACTGAAATCGCTTTGCTCTGTGAAGATAGCTATGACACAAATTACTCATTATAAAAAGCAAATAACGTCTGCTTAAAATACTTAGTTACGTTTAAGTAATCAAACTGAATGCAAAACTCAGATCTTTGATTTGGTCCGAATTGAATAACTTAGTACTATATTCATTGAAGCAATAACACCTTTAAATATGAATACGAAACTTATCATTTTGTTACTTGGAGCAGTTGCATTTGCTCAAGTAAGTTTCCAAAAAATAAACTCCAATAAAATTATTAATATTCCAAATATTTTAGATATGTGCTGCACGACCGGAGGCAAAGTCATCAGAGGAAATCAATGAAATTGCGAAGGAAAGTGACTTTAAAAATAAAGTTACTACGTTTCTAGTAAAGGCTATGAAAGAAAAAGATTCATTAAATGACCACTTTAAGGTACTTATAGCAGTTACATCTGAGTACGCTGTGCACGTTCATGAATCCGTACAGGAATGGCTTAAGGTTTGTGAACTTTTGCTGAAAGAACCTTTCATAGAGAAATTGGATACTGAAGATATACATGCAAGAGCTGAGGACATTGCTTATATTGTTAAAAAAGCTGAATCATTGAAAAAAAATGAAAAAGAAGATCCTGTTTCAGGTTTGCTTGATGTTTCTATTGCATTTGGCTTAATTATGGACAACTATAATGTAACAATAATGGAAAAACCAACAATGGAAGATGTTCTATTCGGTTTAGCATTGGAAAAAAATGGGATTGAAGAAGCAAACAAGAAGATTGAAAAAAGTTTTTCGAAATTCTTAGTAAAAATGATCGATATTGTGGATAAGTACATCGCTAACTTGTCAGCAGAAAATAAAGAAGCTGAAACGAAATTGATTAACTTCATGACGAACTTCAAAATTCAAAATATCAGTATTCAAAGGAAAAACATTTTGAACTTCTTGAGATTATTTTAATTAAAAACTTCATTTACTTCAATATCTGCTAAAAAGGATAGAGTAAAATTGATTAATGTATTTTTTTAAGTTTTGTAAATAAATTTATTATGGAAAATAATATTTTGTGTGAAAATTTACTTCACATTTTCGTACTAAATACTTTCATTTAAAAATTGACCAATTGTCGTCAACATTTGACTTAACATTTGAAGTCAATAATTTGTGGTAAATAGACCTATATAAATATTGTCGTGACCGTTTTGTTGCAGTAAGGAGATTGCTGCTTATATGAGAATGCGTTGACACATTTAAAATTTATTCCACCTATTCTTGTCAGTTGCTTAGAATGTTAATATTAAATTATTAGTTTTTTTAAAAAACAACCACATTCCCATTAAATTATATATGTGGTAAGGCTATTTATACTTAATATCTTTATTCTCTAGCTGTACACTGAAGTGGCTAATAGCCATTTTAAGTAGGGAGTAACCTTTTAAGTGCTTTGAAAACTTTGATTATTCCATTCACTATTTTTTGGATCCCGTTTGGTTTACTCTACAGAATGAGTTGAGGATTCGAATGAGTTAAGAAATGAGGTTTTCTAAAAGAAGGTGGAGGGCCGTTTTTAGTAAGGCTGCCTGTTTTTAATAGAATATTGTTGTAAGCACCTACAAAAAATTACAATATCAATGACATTTGTTTGCATTGCTTATATTCTATGTTTTTGTTAATGTTTCTACAACCATGTTTACGGTTCTTTCTTCGATGTCGGGATGATGTGTCGTAGATATATCTCGTTCGGTTCTCCAAAGTTTTTAATATAAAAGAATGGATACCAAAGCGCCTATTTTCCTTTAAAATCAAAGGAATAGCCTTTTTTGTGAATACATTTCTCTTGAATTTTTCTTTTAATATTTATACTATGTGATTATACTATGTACAAAAATAAATATGTCTATTTATATATATTTATTTGTAATAAATCCTTGTATTGACAATGTGTTAAATTTTTGTATTTTTAATAGCTATTTGCTAACTCTTAATCTTTTCAAAGACGATGATCATAATAATACTTCATGCACAACGATGGATCTTCTTATATGTGTAACAGACAACTGTAAGTAATTAAGGGGCACTAAAAACTGAAGACACATTGTTCCATTGTCTATATTTTTGACCTTGTTTGGTTTACTATAGTGGATTTTTAAATTATCGTCTAAGACTAAGACTCAAATCATAGCGTTACCCAAGTTCATAGTGGAAGCAAGTTCATACTTAGACGCATTATCAAAAAAACAAGGACTTATACGGCCACATGGACTGTGTGCTATACTAGATAAATATCGTGGGGTTAATTTTGTGGTAAATAACGCCGTAGATGAAAGAATGTCAACCACAAGTTATTCACTTCAATAGTATTATTTTTTTTTTTATTTTAAATCTTACACAAAGAACAGAACTGGTGTCTGTCCGCAATGTATTTTTAAAAACATTGAAGATTCACAGCGGTATAGAAGAGTAAGGTCGCTTAATTCTTTGCAACAAAATAAGTCTTTACAGTAAGAGCATAGCCAACAAGAAACCGAAGATATATGATGTTTTCGATTGGTAAATCTAGGCTAATTTTTTTAATAGAGATGTACTTTTAGTATAGTTTTCATTTTCGACTGCTCAATCTGGGGCAAAATGTATAACACTCGAGATTAATTTTGAACACTCTAGATAATTTACCAGAGTAGCATAATTCTCCTAAAATGAACAACTATTTTAAATGATTTGACAGATAAAGTGTGATTTAATTCGATTTATGTATTTATGAAAAATATCTAATCTACTAACACTATAAAAATGTTAGATTACTCTAAAATTGTCCGATTGGGGAACAAAATTTGACAGATCGAGAGTAAAACTGGATGAATCTAGATTCATCAATCGGAAACGCCAATAGATATAAATTTTGTTATAATAAATCTAAAATAAACATATATTAATAAATAAATCAAATTAATAAATCGTCTGAGTTTTTGGTTTCAGATATGTAGTGAGCAGTGTTTGATTGACAAGTTATATTCGATTTTATAAAGAAAAAATTTTAATCTATTAGTAGAAAACTATACACTTGATTTTATTATATATTTTTTTTTTGGTGCATTAAAATGAAAAGGAAATTTTTTTTTAATTATCTGCATGTGTAGAACTAATTTCTTTGATTGTATTTGTATTGTTGAACTTAATTATACTAATGTCACTATATACATTTTGCATATATATAGTTTAAACTGTTTAATTAACCTTGATTGTGCTAAGTGCACGTACTGATTAATTTAATGAAAAGCATTCCATTTTTTGTTTGCGATGTAGTTTGCGGCAAACCTCTACTATATTTCACATAAGTTTTAAGATGTTATTATATTTAAATATTTATATATATATTATATATATATACATATATATCTATATATATATATACATAGTAATATCTAATAACTTATGTGAAATATAGTAGGGGTCTATATCCATATCTATACCTATATCTATTTCTATATCTATATTTATATCTATATTAGTACCTTTATATATATATATGTATATAATAATAACAATAATAATACTTTACTTCTAGTTTTACTACAACCGATTTGCTAATAGATTATTTGATTATTTTTTATGGCAATAACCTGTTAAGCTGAAACTTTCTCAGAAATCGATAATTAATATACCGCGAACTTAATAAACAAAGGGCACAATAGATCTTTTAGGTAGCAGTGCACGATCCCTTACTCAATAATAATAAACAAAGAGGTACAATGGGGAAAAGTTTTATGACTTCTTGGTGATATTAGTAAATCTTTTAAGGATGAGATGTGGCTTCGAATTGAAAATCAATTAAAAATTATTATATAACAATTATAGTACTTATTTCTTATTGTAAATCTAATTACATTGCATAAATGTATCACAATATATATA